CTCCTTCTATGAGCTTCAACATCCGATATTCTGCTGACTTTTCATCTGCTGGAGAAAAAATTTGTTCCAGAAATCTATACCCCTCAAGTAGGGGTTTGACAGGGTCATCCATACGAACTGTGAGGACGTTGCCATTACTTCTGATGGAAATCTCAGCCTTTAGAGACCAAATCTTAGCAAACAAAATAGCAAAGTCAACTTTGTGTTTACTCCAGGATTTATCTTTTAGATACCTCGCCTCCATGATCACATTTCTAATGTCAACTAAAACACTATGTGCATCATCCATCATGTTCTGATGCATCTCTTGAATTTTAATGAGACAGTTAAGAAGGATAACAAATTCTTTTTGGAGAACCTCTGTCTCTATTAAACCAAGCATGTAATAAAGAAATGAGGATATTGATTTTTCCAAATCCTTCCCGTTCTCCAGGAATCCCAGACCAATGTCTAGGAACCCTGCACTATCAGGATCCATTTTGCAGTTCAGACCAGATAGCAAAATTGCCATTTCTTGTTGCATACTTTGGTCAACATGCGCATACCAGCAGAAACAACACACATCAGCAACTTGGACAACCATTCCTCCAAAATGAGCCACCATCTTCTCCTTCCAGGGTGACCATGAGTAATAAAGATTATTACTAAGAAGCCAGCCGAGGGAATTCAGACTCCATTCCGAGGCTCTCATTTGCATCGTAAGATGATCATCCAAGTTTAGATAGTTTCCCTCAGATAAGTATTGCAAATTCGACTCTAGAGATTGACAGAAAAGGTCCCAGGATGAACTGCTTGTTTTAGACAAAGGTAGCTGAGGGCAACGTTGTTGGGTGAACAAAGGTCTGCCTTTGTAGGCCGCCCAGATCTGTGGCTTCAAAAGGGCAATGTTTTGATTCAGGGTGGTGAAAACATGAATCAATTCTGAAGAAGGCTTAGTTTGAAAGGAGTTTAGAAGATATGCTTTGAATTCTTCAGCTGCTTTTGCAACTTTGCTGAACTGAAAATCCGATATAGCATTACGGGATGATGATGAAGATGATGCATCATTCCACATGTGAGAGTAAGCAAGAAAAGTGTAGAGAAATTTCAGCTCCACTATCACAGAATCCAAACTGTTATTTGTAATAACATTGAAATTCGTGCGATCTATTTCCTTCTTAATCAAATATTCAGCATAATCAATTGCATAGTAAAAATCTGCCCACTTATCAGACATCTGAAACCAAAGATAAAGAGATTTTTGGTCTTCCAGGAAACTATAAATAGAGCGTCCTCAGTTTCAGGATCACAAAGGAATTGAAATATAGAGAAGAACACTAAGTTTAACATACATAAAGAAAGGAAAAAGAATTATGCAAATGCCACAAAATTGATAGCAACATAGAAAATCAACACATCCTCATTTATGGGTCGAATGTAAAAAACAAACAAACATTCCAACTTCAGGTAAGGAAAATTTCTTTTGAGTTATCTGTGCAAACAAATGCTAGATAGAGATACATGCATCAATTGAATTCTTCAACTTACTAAATGCCAAGTCAAAGTTTGAAATCATTTGTCAAAATAATGAAGCTTATTTAATCAGCAATTTTGTGAACTCAATTTTCTCAAGGAAAGAAGCCTGTGTTTAACACACAAGTGTACTCTAATAAATGTTGTCAATGTCAAATTAGGCTGACTAATTTTAACCCAAAAAATTATTATCTGAAAAGTCCAAGTTTAATAATTAAGTATAACAGAACCTGCTCAGAGATACCAAGGCCTGTCCCTCTCCTTTCCAACCTTGCTTCTCCTCGAAGGAACCATGCTCGGTATCCCCCTTGGTTCTTAACCCAAAAGGGTGACCGTAGCAAAAATATAAGGAACCAATACCCAGATGTTTCGTAGACATTACATTTTCTTTCTCAAAGGGCTTTTACTGTTAGATATATTAGTGTATACACTAAGCTTAAGGCACTTTTAGGTTGACAGTATCGTGCTTTTACCTTACAGAATGATAAGCTCAGGCATCTGATTTAGTCAGAGAATCTTATCATAATCTCTTGGCAAAATGATGTTCCTAAACTGCTAAATTGCTGCTTCCTAAATCTTTTAATCTTGGTAAGGTGCTAACTGCTGTTGGTATTGGACTCAACTATCCTCATAAGGTGGGAAGTCTAACTTCGGAGTAGAAAAAAATTGTGTCCCTTACAAGTTAGTTCCTTAGAAAGTTCAAACGATGTTTGGAGCTCATTACTGTATTATAAGACATTTTCTTTTCTTTACTGTTTCTTTTTTCCGTCTTCTGCTGTTCCATAACACTCCCTCAACATTCACATGATTTTGGAACTGTATGCAACTTCTATTCAGAATATATGAACAAAAGAGAGAATGCAAGCAAGTAAGGAGAATGATTGAATGATATATTTATTTTTGAAGTACAAGCATAACATCTTCAGATTTATTCTCAGGTAGATGATAAAAACTGGGGATCGAACTTTTTCGCAACAGAAGATTTGAAGAGGCTCACTAGGCAGTACAATTTTTGTGCATCGACATTAACTGTGGCCCTTGAGGAAATCAACAATCCACTCATTTACTTGGTCAGGAAATTGTTCCTGGATGAAATGACTACCTTCAGGCACAAATATGGTCTGTAAGTTGGGGACAAAAACTTTTGACTGCTCCTTCCTTATATAATCATCCATTCCCGGAAATTTAAAGAAGTAATCTTTCTCACCCATTATAAGCAATTCAGGAGCATCAACCTTCACTTCTGATATGTTGAACACTTCATTCCTTGACCTGCGACCAAAGATCATGTCACCATTGGAGTTAGTTTCTCCAGAACATGCGAGGAGATTTACCCACTACTTTGCCCAGACACTGATACCAACATCAGGATTGTAAAACTAGGCCCGAAAGAGAAGTCATTTTGATGAGCATGGTTGTCATTCTTATACTCATTTCAGCCCTTTGATATCATATCTTCCATGGAAACAAATAAACATGGAAAAGAGATTCAAATGATCTGTAGGACAGGCTATCATTTGACAGAAGAAGAGTGTTCATGCTTTACCTATATGGCACTTGTAGTGCAGTTCGAAATCCAGATTTTTCATAAAGAGATCCATAGTTTGCAAGATCTTCTTCAGTAAACCAAGGGGGTAAAGCAACAGACGAGTCCACCATATCCATTATTTCCTGATCTTTCTCTGCAACTGGTAAATCAGGTCCAGAGAAGAGAACATAGATGTTGCGGACAACTGTTTTAGGATCAAACCGGCCAAAATCAGCTTCTGCTCTTCCAGGTTCCTGCAGTGAAAACTATGAGGTGCACTGTAACAACTAATCCCTAATGACTTTATCCTACGCAATGGTTTAATACAAGTCCTAAAGGGAAAACTTGCTGGAAAGCAGACTTATATCACTGTTCAACCCATCTTACTCTAATTGATTTTAAATTCGAATTGAAACATACTTCACCGTCAAAATAGAAACTCTAAAGTGAAAAATTCTTTACCTTCCATCTGGCCATGTAAAAGCCTTCAGGCACTTGTCCGGCAAACGGAGGGGGCTTCGGCGGCACAAAAGGTATACCCAGCGACACAATTCCTGCAACTCTTCTGGGATGGAGAAGGGTAAAAAGATGAGCTATCCGGGATCCAAAATCTTTAGCTATGAGAAATACCTGGAGACGAAAAGCATACAACAGCTCAGTATTAAATTTCTAAAAATCTTACACAAATATAAACTTTTAACATATGGACGAAAAATGAAGCATATATCAATGCCATCATTGGAAATAACTTTCCTAGACCATCTTAAGCCAGAAACATGACAACAGTGTTAAGTCTGTTATTCTCTTTTTAGCATCAATGTTTCTAGTTGCAATTCACCCAATGAACTGAAACTAAATTGTGGGGATTGATTATATACCTTTAAGCTACGAAACTAATAATATGTAAAACCTTCAACTTGAATGTTTTTACTAAGACAAGACAAGATGTCCACCATACCCCAATCTTGGCTGGCAATCAATTACTGGTTGTTTTTCTTTTTGCCCTTCGGTTTGAGTTCTACTCTACCTTCTTATTAATTGATCCCCTGTTCCCCCCTATTGCCCCTTTTAAAAAGCAGCCAAAAAATCATTTATAAGCTGATGCATTAAAAATGATCCAAACGACAAACTGAATGAACCTTGATTAATCAAGAAACAGTGAAGATACCTTAGGAATGCCCAGAACATCGAGAAGTGAGTGGAGATCATTGATGAAATCAGAGTAGGTGGCTTCCTCGGGTACAGTTGGCGGGTCGGATAGTCCATAACCTCTGTAATCGGGTGCAATGGCTCTGTATCCAGCTTTAGCAACAGCAATCATTTGGTGGCGCCAAGAGTACCAAATCTCAGGAAACCCATGGCAGAACAACACCACTCCTGACCCATTTCTTCCACCAGCCTCGGCCACATGAAGCTTCAGCCCGTTCACCTCCACATGTTTATGCTCAATCTGATCCATTGACCACTTAAGACTTCCTTCCTGCCCAACTCCGATTTTGGGAGTTGTTTCGGTGAATCACATGCATATTTCATCGGATTTGGTCGGCTAAATAGCTTCAAATTTGAGGTGGGAGCCGCCGTTTTGAGAAAAAAATGGAATCTTTTTTAAATTTAGTCAGTCAGCATAGACTGCTGAAATTTATATAACATAATCACTTGAGTGTTGAATTCAACTGATTTGATTGAGACTGAGAACCAAATCTATAAATTTACGATGGCTTGATTTGTGCTGAAATTTTGCATTATCGCCATTGACTCTACACCAAAAGGAGGATAACATAATAGACAAGAAAAAGGAAAATCACCGTTTTAGTCCAACATTATTCGACTTCATGAAAAAAGAACAAAAGTACTTTCTGAAATCTACAAATAACCCTTCTAAATCTAGAAACTACAGTCTGAAATAAATCTCGTTAAATTGAACCTCTCTTCCGACGATCCCAAAACAGTCTCCACCAAAATGGCCACAGAAACCGTGATTCAGCCGCCGCCACCGCCGTCGTCCTCCATTCTCCGCCGCATTATCAAATTCGACACCGCCCTTTCCCTCCGCCTCTACAATCTCACTCACTCTATCCTACCATACTCGCTTCTCAAATCCCTCGAATACTCCGGCGATGGCCGCCTCTTCTTTCCTATAATTATATCCCTCCTCCTCTACCCTTTCTTCACCGCCGCGGCTCCGGCGAAGCCGCCGACAGATCCTTTCCTAGTAAACCTCTTTATCGGAGGCCTTCTCGATATCATCCTCATTGGCCTGCTCAAGCATTTTATCCGCCGTCCCCGGCCCGTCTATAACAAGAACATGTTTTTATCTTTCGCCGTTGACCACTGGTCGTTCCCTAGTGGCCATAGCTCTAGGGTTGCGTTTATTGCTACACTTTTCTACTTTTACTCGGATTGGGTCCGGAATTTCTGGATGACATCGGAATTCGGTCTTCCATTCTTGGCGGAGTACTTCGTGTTGATCGTTGTCTCGTGGGCAGTGGTAACTTCGGTTTCCCGGGTTCTTCTTGGGAGGCATTTTGTGTTTGATGTTTTAGCTGGAATGTGGTTAGGATTTCTTGAAGGCTTTTTTGTGTTTCGGGTTTTCAACTATCATAATCTCAGCCAGTTTTTCAGGTAGAAATGGATGTGAGTTATCATTGTTTAGCTGGTTGCTTCACTTTATGTAAACTTTTATGTAATTTTTTATTCATTTGGTCAATCATCTGCTGTGGATGTTTGATCATCCTTCTTGTTGTCATATTTGGTTTCAATGTATTTCTTGAATGGTTTTGTTAGGTATGACCCGGATGCTGATTAAATTTGTACGCCAAAAGTTTGATCTTGATACTACATTTATGAGATGCTACCAAACTATTGTAGATTCTGAACCGATGGTGTATACTATAGTGAATTGGTGTGTTGGATTGGATATCACTTTGATTTGTTGGAGTAAACATTGTTTGAAATCGTGAAACCTGTCTAATAAATCGGTTATTTCTGTCTAAGTTTCTGAATATGTATAAAATGGCTTCGAGATTTCTTGATAGCTTAAGCCATAATGTGCTTTAATGTTGTGGTTATTCATCGCGAACTATTTTGTATGAACTTGATGCATCAGTTGGCGGCAAGATTGGCTGCCTCACTAGCAACTGCAGCACAGCTCGATGCAATGATACTTGATCTGAGGAACTTACCGCTGTTGTTTCCTAGACTGATATCTTCAAAATCATACCAAATGGAGAATCATTTTGGGATGGAGGGAGTTATATCTATTTGACAAATGTTTTGAACCTGTATTTTGTTAACTATGTGATTACGTAGACTAGCTTTCATATACTGTGTCGTTGAACTATCAAGCTCAACAACCAAGTCTAGCAGGTATACAATATTGCACTAGGTGTATACATTAAAAATGAGTCTTGAGGAAATTGAGTATAAGCTTATTCACTTGGTATGGAAGTTGCTCCTGAACAAAATGGGAACCTTCAGGGATGAATACTGTCTCCAATCTGGGAACAAACTTCTTTGCCTGATCACTTCTTATGTAACCCTCCAAATTTGAAAATTTGATGTAAAAATCTTTTTCACCCATAATCAACAGGGCTGGAGCATCAACCTCCACTTCTGATATTTCGAACCCTTCATCAATTGACCTGCAACATAGGCGGGTTATCGCTGTTGCATCGTCTCATTTTTACAAAGATACATCCGAGCTTGACTCATAATTTAACGTTCTAATAAATAGCGATACCAAATAATAGTAAGACAATTCGTTGGTTTCTAGTCTACCGTAGCAGTAGTTGTTAACATTTCAAGGAAAAGTAACTTAACTTCAATCATCCAACAGCTCGTGAAATGTGGAACGACAACAAGCACAGTTGATGAAACCTTACCTATACGGCACTTTCAGGGAAGTTTGGAATCCAGATTTCTCATAAAGAGCACCATAGTATTCAAGATCTTCCTCTGTAAACCAAGAGGGAAGAGGAGTCGATGAGTCGACCAAATCCATTATCTCTTGATTCTCCTCAGCTATTGGAATATCAGCTCTGGAAAAGAGTACATAGATGTTGCGCACAACTTCTTTTGGGGAAAATCGACCGAAATCAGCTTCTGCTTTTCCCAGTTCCTACAGGGAAGATATAGGGTGAGATGATGCGACATCAACTGGCTTGAATTCCCTCAAGTTATGTGAAGGACCAAAATAAAGGTTTTATAACCAAATCAACTAAACCAAAAGCTAATGTAACATGCTAAAAGAAACGATAGTTTCTACCTTCCATCTAGCAATGTAGACCCCTTCAGGTATGCCTTCTAACATTGAAGGGAGTTTTGGAGGCAAAAAAGGTATACCCAAGGTCACAATTCCTGCAACTCTATCAGGATACATCATCGCAAAAAGATAAACTATCCGAGCTCCGAAACTTTTACCAACGAGAAACACCTATAATTCCACAAGCAAAATACGCAAGTATCACTTTAAAAACATTCAGAGCACAGAAAGGTCCAATCCTGTTATACTATTTTGTACATATAAAATCGCAATGCATCTTTCTCCATTTTCATTGTCATAATAAACAAAAGAACAAAAAAATTGTCAGAGTGTTCTAAAAAGGCTGATATTGACCTCAAGTGGAGTAGTAAGGAACAAGGCCAGCAATTCCATTTCTTTTTTTCTTTTTTTTTGACTCCCAAGCACCAAGCAGACTCATATCAAGTTCAATATATGTGGATGAATGTTTCAGATTCCCTTCCATAAAATTGCTAACGAAACTACTATACATGCAAGGTAAAGGGGATAAAGTAGCTGACTTTCTGATAGCTCACTAAACAAATTTCCTCATTCACAACATCAGTATACTTCCTGCAATCAATAATTTGACATGGCTCAAAACCTATCAAAAAAGAAAACATCAAACAGAAGTAATAAGGCAATGATTTAGCCCAAATAAACTCAAGCCTAATTGTAAATTGTGAATAAAGAAGATTCATCATAATTACCTTGGAAATGCCAAAAACATCAAGGAGACAGTAGAGATCACTAATGAAGTCAGCATAAGAGGCCTTCTCTGGCTCCTTTGGAGGATCAGATAGTCCATAACCTCTGTAATCGGGTGCAATGGCTCTGTAACCAGATTTTGCCACAGCAACCATTTGGTGGCGCCAAGAATACCAAATCTCAGGAAACCCATGACAGAACAACACGACTCCTGTCCCATTTCTTCCACCAGCCTCGGCCACATGAAGCTTCAGCCCGTTGACCTCCACGTATTTGTGCTCAATCTGATCCATTGACCACTGAAGACTTTCTTCCCAATCAAATGGAGCTTAAGTGGCGAATGCAACTAGGTTTTAGCAAACTTAGTCGAAGTGGTGGTTTGTTGCTTGAGAGAAATCGGCATAATTCAGCTAGAAGTTTAAGAGTAATACCATCAACTAAAAACTGTAAAATAATACAAAGCATTGATTTTTGTTTATTCGACTTCAAGTAGAAGAAATAAAAAGGAAAAGACAACATATATATTTCGTCGGCTTCTTCGTCTCGAAAAATAGGTCGACGTAAAAGTCGACGGGGAGTTTCTTTCTCCTTATTATCTTGGTTCATTCAGGGCGTGATTTCAAATCGCGCTTTCAAAACGGATGTTTCGAATTTCTTTTTTCGTCGACTTTTTCGTCGGTCTATTTAAAACGACGATATAGTCGACGCAATGTTTAAGTTGTTTTTTTTTTCTTTTTCATTTTTTTTTACCCCAAATTTATAAATTTAAATTGTTGAATTTTTTTTATCAATATTTTGATTTATGAATAAATTCAAAATTTAATATGTGTAACAAATAATAAATTCAAATTTCATTTATATTATCATCGAATTACTAAGAATATAGCAAAATCGGTTCAATTAGTTTCAAAAACAATAAATATTTTGTGTTGATATAGCAAAATCGGTTCAATCTTTTGTGTTGATATTTGAGAGAAATTGGCATAATCAGCTAGAATTTTAAGATTAATACCATCAACTAAGAACGGTAAAATAATACAAAAGCATTGATTTTTGTTTATTCGACTTCAAGTAGAATAAAAAGGAAAAGTCAACATATAGATTTCGTCGGCTTCTTCGTTTCGAAAAAGAGGTCGACGTAAAAGTCGACGTGGAGTTTTTTTCCCCTTATTATCTTGGTTCATTCAAGACGTGATTTCAAATTGCGCTTTTCATAACGGATGTTTCGAAATTCCTTTTTCGTAGACCATTTTCGTCGGTTAATTAAATCGACGATATAGTTGACGCAATGTTTAAGTTGTTTTTTTTTCTTTTTCATTTTTTTTTACCCAGATTTATAAATTTACATTGTCGAATTTTTTTATCATTATTTCGATTTATTAATAATTTCAAAATTTAATATGTGTACAGAATAATAAATTCAATTTTCTTTTATATCATTGTCGAAATTACTAGGAATACAACAAAATCGGTGCAGTTAGTTTCAAAAACAAGAAATATTTTGCATCTTTTGTGTTGATATTTGAAATCCAATATTTTTCAAACAAAAATTTTTTAATATGCATAATAAAATTAAACTGTTTGATTTTTTTTAGGGTAAGATTTTGTTTTCACCAAATTTATGAAAGTCGATTATCAAGCATAAAATCTATAGTATTATACTAAGAGAGAAACCAGAGAGAGAAATTAAAAGTTACTCCTCACGTTGCCACGTAGATCCTCCGTATCATTTTTTTAATGCATGACTCCAATATTACTTTATACAATTATGCTAATAGTCCTTCAAATTTTCAGTAAATAAAGTTTTATCAAATTGCATCTATAACATTTTTCCAAAATAGAAAAAGGTATATTAATCAAATTTAATGGAGGAGACTAATCAACATTAAAGCTCTGGAGTCCTCCAAAAAATTCCAAAAGTTACTGCTGGATTGATTTAAAACATAAGTTCAAAATGAAAAAAAAAAATTGTATTCTTTTAATAGCTAATGAAAATTAACGTCCAAACCTCATCAAAATTAATGACATATAATTAAGGTCAAAATACACAAAAAAGAAAAAAGAGGCAAAAAACATGGCCGAAATCACGATTTGAGCGAAACCAAATCATTGAAGAAATGGGTGAACCCATCCTAGATTGCTAATTAATTCACGTAGTTTGAACACAAACCATATAAGGAAATAGAAAAATCCTCATCCTATCTTCAACTACATCATTAGTTTCATTTTATCTTATTTTTTGGAAATTCAAATTTCAAAAACAACAATCACATTAAATAGTCTTTATGCGTTCCATCTTCATTACCGGATCTTCTCTATAAATTAGGACAAATATTAGCTTTTTCTTCAGTGGCTTTCTCCTTAAGTAAGAAACTTTTTACTCCATCACTTCTTATTCTTGAAGATATTGTTCTGGGTACTAATAATATTTTCTTTTCTTCAACTTTTGCAGGCTATGATTCAACATATTGTAATTAAATTTTTTTTGGAATATTTGAGTTGTGGTGGTTTAAACTTATTGTGATTGCTGCAACTATCACGAAAGAGTCGATCATCGAGTCTTTAAAAATGAAAAATCTTATGAATGTGTACTTTTTGTATTGTTTTACTTTTGTTCATGTGAATAATTTTTATTGTCTTCTGCAAAATGATATTCTACCATTTGCCTAATATTGAAATTTTAGATTTACATATAGGCAAGGAGACCTGAAAATGGATTTATCCATTTCTATTACGAATGGGAAAACCATTATGATGATGAAATTTGCCAAAGGCAGAGAATGGAGTAAGGTACTTATGCTTTCTTAAGAATGTGTTGCACAATCTTTTATTACTCTTTTGATTATACATTGTATATTCATTATGTTGTATATTACTCCAAAAAAAAAAAAAAAATCTATTTGACTTGACAACAGAATAGTATAAGAGGACTATAATAATGATTGAAACGCATGCAAATCTTTCCAAAAAGAACTTTACAAATATAAACTGCAAAGAAGGAACAACGATTTCTACATAAGCAAAATGCATCATTCCCTTTGTAAATTTTGAGGCATAAAGGAAAGATACATATCTTTCTAAAGAGTAGTCTATTAATGATTGGAATTAATGAGATATCAACATTTATGTAATCGAACTTAGTATCATTGAATAACAATAATTCTTTGAGATTTTTGCTTTAAATCACAGAGTGTGCCCACGTGGTCAATTTCTCTCTAAATCATAACCTACAAGAAATCATAAAGATGATATAAAGAATAATTCTTACACAAAAACATCAACAAGAATCTTCCGGATTATTTTCTTAAAATAATTTGACAAGTTTTTAACCTTAGCAATTTGTAAGATAATAAACAAAAAAATGAATTGAACATTTTCTGTACAAAAAATATATTTTTACCTTATTAGAATTTGAATGAACCAAATGATAGTTACATGCATGATATGTCGGGTACTATGTAGATTACCTAATTAAAATAGTCCTCAATTATAATTAAAAATGTATTTTTACCTCATTGGAATTTGAAATGATAGAATGATGGTTACTTGATATGTTGGGTAATATGTAGATTACCTAATTAAAATATTCATCAATCGTAATTAAAATTTTACATTCAATCGTAGACTAATTAACAACCATTTAGAAGTTTCTTGGATTAATACCTAAGAAAAGTTTTAATGCTCGGATTAATATAACAGTGGTTTAAAGTATTCACAATTGCTTCTATCAATATATATATATATATATATATAATATAATATATATTTTGGAGGTAATATAAATGATCTCTATTTTTTTAGTGGAAATGCCACGTAAAATATAAGATGTATTCTTATACATGGTAATAAAACCCAAAAATCATATGAAAAAAATAATTTTTTGAAATAAAATTAATAATGATAAGAATAAATATGAATTTAATAACATGTTTTGTGTTCAATATTTTGTATGCTTACGATGATTGTAGTATTGTATTTTTCGTGCATGTATAAAATACTTTCATTTCATATCACATTCAATATTTTTATTTATTATGTAGGTGTGTTTATTTACTTTATTAGTATTTTTTTTTGAAAGACACTTTAAGTATTATAATTCTTATACTTTGCATTGTTACACTTTTTTAGTACAATTTAATGGATACCGTCATTTTCTAGTTTTATAGTGTGTGTGCGTGTGTGTATGTGTGCGTATACATTATGAAAAATATTTTATTTACAAAATATGATCTAATTTATTTTTACTTACAAAAAGTTCTTATTGCAAATCAATTACTTTATTTGTATTTATAACATTTAAAACTTAATATATTTTTTTAATAAAATGTATATAAATAACCCCGCACATTGTGCGGGTTTAACATCTAATTAATTAGTATATAAACTTAAACATCCGTAAGATCGGCCGTGGAATGTGTGTACCATTGATTAGATGGAAGTTGAAATCTAACAGGAGCTGAAGTGGTGAACGCAACTACGTTTCAGCAAACTTAGACGAAGTAGTAGATGTTACTTGAGAGAGATTAGCATAATCAGTCAAAAGTTCTGTTTCGTTATTTTTCGTGTTTATAAGCTGAAATGGATTAGACAAACTTAGAAGTTTTGATTGTACAAAAGATAGGATCTCAGCTTAGAATTTGTTTTGGTCGCTGTAACTATAATTGTGATATATGATTCTGCTTTTTAAAATGATGCAATACAACACTTACCATTTACCAAAAAATCAAATTTGTACAAAAGTATTCACAATAAAGTTATTGACTGGAAAAGGAAAGCCACAACAAATTGTCGGTTGACGACCTAATTTTGTATGGAATTTTTCATTCATCACCTTCTCTGTCCAGAAAATGAACCCGACGAATAAGTTGATAACGTAATATTTTACAAAAGTTTATTTCATCGACTTTGTCGTTGGGCGAAGGAAATGGACGAATTAGCCAATGAAAAAATTTGGTACGTAAATCTTCTTTCGTCGACTCATTGTCAGGAAAACAAAACGGAGAATAAGTCGACGAGACTTAATATTTTACAAAAGTTTCTTTCGTCGACTTCATCATCGGCAGCAGGGATGGACCTAGGGGGAGCAAAGGGGTCCGTCGACCCTGCGGTCAGCAATTTTTTTTTAAAAAATACCTTTGTATTTTTATATATTTTTTGAAAAAAAAATTATAGTTACGATCGACCCTGCGAATGTTTTGAGCTGATTCCATCACTGATCATCGGGCATATGAACATAACGAATAAGTCAACGGCGTTATTTTATACGAAATTATTTTTCGTCGACTTCATTGTAAGGAAAGACGAAATATGATGACGTAATATTCTACTACAAAAGTTTCTTTCGTCAATTTTATAATCGGGAAAAAGAATGCGGCGAAAGAATCAACGACATAATTTTGTACTACCTATATCCCTAATAAATAATCTTTTAAATTGAATTAAAATAGTATAAAAAAACGAGCTTGTTTTTGGGACGTAGACTTTCTTTTGTCAACTTTGGTGTCGGGACATACAATGCGACGAGAAAGTCGACGACATACTTTTGTACCAGATTTTTTCTTTTGCCAGCTTGATCATCTGACACCGGAAAACGACGAATAAGTCGATGACATATTTTTATGAGAAGGGAAAACTGAGATTACGGAAATTTTCTTTTGTCGACTTCATCATCGGGGGAGAAACGAGACAATGACGTCGATGCCATAATTTTTTTACAAAAGTTTTCTTTCGACGACTTCATCATTGGGCTAAGAAATGCAGCGACTAGATGAACGAAGAATTTTTAAATGAAAATTTTCATTTCGCCATGTTAGGTATCGATGATTGATGCCCAAGTGGCATTCATACAGAAGCTTAAACATACAAAACAGTTATATATAGAACTATCCAGGGCCAACGGCACCCAGAACAGTCCTTCAGGTGTTGCGTTTACATTAAAAATGAGTCTGGAGGAAATTGAGTATAAGCTCATTCACTTGGTCTGGAAGTTGCTCCTGAACAAAATGGGAGCCTTCGGGGATGAATACTGTCTCCAATTTAGGGACAAACATTTTTGCCTGATCACTTCTTATGTAGCCCTCCATATTTGGAAATTTGATGAAATAGTCCTTTTCACCCATAATCAGCAATGCAGGAGCATCAACCTTCACTTCTGATATGTTGAACTCTTCATCCATTGTCCTGCAAAATAACCGAATGATCTCATTAGTGAAATTAGCTTTTGTTGCATCCTCTCATTTTGACTATAGGCTGGTTTGCAAAAGTTAAATTAGCTTCAACTACATAAGCTGAGCTCAAAATAACTTTCAGGGATGAAAAATGACACAGTAATTCAACAGAAACCTAATTCTTGAATTTGAAATTTTTCACTGAATAAAAACTTTACACGAGTCTTCTAATACTTTCTGATGATAACATCCAACCTGTAAGGCACTTTTAGGGCCGTTTGGAATCCAGATTTCTCATATAGAGCACCATAGTTTTCAAGATCTTCCTCTGTAAACCATGAGGGGAGCGGAGTTGATGAATCGACCAAGTCCATGATCTCTTGATTTTCTTCAGCTATAGGAATTTCAGGCCTGGAAAAGAGGACATAGATGTTGCGCACAACCGCTTTAGGATGAAGTCGACCAAAATCAGCTTCGGCTTTTCCAGGTTCCTGCAGGGTGAATGTTAGATGATGCAACAACTGGCTTGAATTCCCTTAACTTTTGCAACTTGACCAGAAGGCAAAAGCTTCCATAATTTGTAAAAACAACAGTGAATTTGAACTAGGAAAAACACTCGTTATACCTGCCATCTAGCAATGTAGAAACCCTCGGGTAAGCCGTCTAACATTGAAGGGAGTTTTGGAGGCAAAAAAGGTATACCCAATGTTACAACTCCAGCAACTCTCTCAGGATACATCAGCGCAAACAGATAAACTATCCGAGCCCCGAAATCTTTACCAACAAGACATACCTAAAATTCCACAAGCAAACTATGCAAGTAAGGTTACGAGCAAGTAGAAAGATGCAAACCTGTTGTACACAAGCATACAATTACATTGAAGAACAAAACTCCTCCAATAGTTCGGATAAAATTTAACCAGCATCTTGTCCATTTCCAATCTTTGATTGTGATATTAAACGGAATAAATTGGTCAGAGTGTTCTAAAACAGGCTGACCTTGACCTCAATTCGAAGAAGAAGGTTGACTCTTGCATCAAGTAGACTCCTTTCAAGTTCAATATGGATGTTTCTTATAACTTAGATTTGCTAAGAAACTAGTACTACGTAAGGACAGGGAATAAAGGAGCTGACTTTCTGATATGTCTGCCAAATACTAGCATTAATGCTATATTAGCATTCGACTCAATAAACACTAAAATTTTGTTCCATTCACAAAACCATTATACTTTTTTCATTCGAGTAAATCTGATTATAAAATAAAATAAAATTGACCAAATGAACTATCAAACCGAACTACCGAAGCAATATGGCAATCAATGCATACCAAAAGAACTTGAGAGTAAAATAATAAAAAAGAAGGCAGTGATGAATTCTAAATCAAAATGAAGACTAATCATTACTGGGATCCCAGCAATCACCTTGGAAATTCCAAAAACATCAAGGAGAGAGTAAAGATCACCGATGAAGTCAGTATAACAGGCCTTCTCCGGTTCTTTTGGAGGATCAGATAGTCCATAACCTCTGTAATCCGGCGCAATGGCTCTGTAACCAGCTTTTGCCACAGCAATCATTTGGTGGCGCCAAGAGTACCAGATCTCAGGAAACCCATGACAGAACAACACTGCTTTTGGCCCTTCTTCTCCTCCTCCAATCTCAGCTACATGAAGCTTCAGCCCGTTGACTTCCACGTACTTGTGCTCAATTTGATCCATTTTGCAAAAGTAAAATGTCTGAAAATTCCTGGGAGGAAGAGTGAGGTATTGTGTGTGTGTGTATGTGTATTTCTTATACAAAAATCAGTATTTATAATCAGTAACGTGTGAAATACACACAAATTGGCTGTCGTATATGTTGTGCGATGGGAAATGCCGAAGAGACTAACTTCAGAAGAAGCCAAGTTGAATAGGTGATACCTTTTTGGCTTTTGGCCAGAGTTTGTTTTCTATCTTTACCAACAACATAGTCCACTCTTGTTTGTCTAGCTAGGAGTTTAGTTTATTGGGTTCGGTTTGTTGGAATATTTACAAGTATCCTTCTTAAAATTAAAACAATCAATTTGGAACAAAACGGAATTCATGACCATAATATTCTAAGGACAGAGGAGTGGTTGGCTAATAATTCAGGTTTGGTAACCGAATATTTAACATGTTTGGAGTTGGTAGATGGATCTGCTAGAGGGTAATAACAAGAAAAACTTATGAACTGATGTAGATTATAACACCACTTTGACCAAATTAACACTTTTACTGCTAAATGAACATCATTAGATTCATTACAAAGAAGTACTCTTGAAATGAACCAAAATCTCTTTGTATGAAGGAACACATATAGAGTAGTGAAAATCTGGTTTTCTTTAAAAAGGGGAAAAAAAAACATTGCGCATCAAACTAATAAAATCTTATAATCTTTTACTACTGTAACACTTTTGTGTTTAAATGACTAGAACCAAAGATACTTGTACTAATCAAGAATTCATGATTTAGATCAGAGAAACAATAAGGCAAATCAAGTAATTTATAAAAGGTGATGAACAATTAAAGACTAGGGTTTCAGGTGGAGAAAGTTTGGAGAAGAAGATTTTCGTATTGATGAATCTGGACGTTTCTTCCGTCTATTTTCTGTGTATATTCTGTACAAGAATCAGCTATATATATACATACCGGAATATACAACTAACTAATCAAGACAGCCTGTACATTCTACTCACAAAAGAAACACAAGTAATCTAAAGGCTAATATGTACATTGAAACTAAAAACGAATGATCAGGATTTGATTCTCTGATCACACGGATTGATGACTTGGCAACTCCCTGTAACGTTCCCGGTGCCAAGGTCGATTACCCAAAGCTGCATTGTAGTTGCGTTTCTGTGAGCTAAAAGTAGCACGTGGTCCAGAAACTTCCTGATGAAGAAATAAGATGGAGTGTGATGGTCCAACTAGTATACATGCAGGACCGCTTTGATCCTGTGTTGTTTTGCCTGACTTATCCGACGTGGAACAAGGATCCAACACTGGATTTGAAGAATATTTCAACACTTCCCCTGCAACATGAGTATGTGTAAGGCTCATCTTGGACATGATAAAAACAAAACTAGAAGATCCCAAAGGTTTAGTGAAAATGTTTGCGAGTTAAGTTGAGGAAAAAACATGTTGTGGCAGAATGAAACCATCCTTATACTTGTCTCTCACTACATGGCAATCCACCTCCAAATGCTTTGTCCTTTCATGAAAGACGGGATTGGCAGTGATGTGGAGAGCTGTTTTGTTGTCACACCAGAATGGTATAGGAAGTGTTAGAGGGATCTGAAAATCAACAAGCAAGTATGAAATCTATTGCAATTCTCGAACTGTTGCCGCCATTGCACGATACTCTACTTCTGCTGTGGAGCATGAAATGGTCGTTTGCTTCTTTGCTTTTCAAGAAACCAAGCTGCCGCCTAAGAAGACACAGTATCCAGTCATAGAATGACGAGAAGCTTGGCAACTCCCATAGTCAACATCACTGTATGCTGTGAGATTGAGTGTAGAAGTGCGTGGATAAAATAGTTCCAAGGAAATACAACCAGCCAGGTATTTAAGGACATGTAGGGCTGCATGCCAATGTGATTCAGGGAATGGACGAACTGGCTGAGTTGTTGAACTGAATATGTAAGATCAAGTCAGGTAAAGTTAAGGTATAGAAGTCTACCAATCAATCGTCTGTACTGAGCTGTATCCTGGCACAATGGACTAGTATCTTTGCCTTCAGAAGGAAAACGAAGATCTCTTGGCAAAGGGGTGGGAGCTGGATCACAGTCCAACATATTGGCATCCTTCAATAAGACTGTAATATACTTTTCTACTGAATATACATTCCATCAGCAGTTTGCTGGATTTCCATGCCAAGGAAATATTTGGCTTCCCCTAGATCCTTGATTGTAAAAGTCTGATCTAGAAAGAGTTTCACCTTACTGATCTCAGCTTCATTGGTACCAGTAAGAAGTATATCATCCAGTAGACAATAAGAATCATCAGGCAATCTGAATTATGAAGAATAAACAAACAGTTGTGATTGTCAGACTGTTTGAAACCATAAGACTGTAGTTGAATAGTAAATTCTTGATTCCACTGGTGAGACGCTTGTTTAAGACCATATAAAGAACGTCTCAATTTACAGACTTGCTGTGGAGAAAATTTAGTGTAACCAGGTGGAGGAGTCATGTACACATCTTCTTCTAGATAGCCATGTAAGAAGGCATTATTAATGTCCATTTGATAAACTGGCCAAGATTTTGCAGCATTAATAGCAAGCAACAGCCTGATAGTAACTGATTTTGCCACAGGAGAGAACACTTCAAAGAAATCCTCCCCTTCCACTTGATTATACCCTTTGGCCACCAATCTTGCTTTGTATTTATCTACAGTTCTATCCGGTTTAACCTTGATCTTGTATACCCACTTTCAGCCAATTGCCTGTTTTCCAGCTGGTAAAGTAGTCAGCTCCCAAGTACCATTGCTTTCAAGTGCACTCAGTTCTTGATCCATGGCCTCAACCCATCTCTGATTAGTCCTAGTCTGATTGTATGTTACTGGTTCTTAAATACTAGATAGATTAGCTAAAAACACATTATGTGCAGCAGAAGAGGGGATAGAAGGGTGTGTACTGACAAAGCCATCTAACCAGGAAGGAGGTTTTCTTGATCTTTCACTCCTTCTAGGACAAATGGTTCTGGATGACTAGATAAATCATGGACTATATGATGATCTGGAATGCTGTTATGAGGAAAAATGGAATGAGAATCAGAAGTAGAGGATTAAGGTGAAGAGGAATGGGATTCTAAAGAGACAAGCTTGGATCATTTTGTGTAGAAGGTATGGATTCTATATTGGATGGTGATGATGTAGTAGAAGGAGAGCTTTGATCTGAAAAGCTAACAATAGGAAGATTAAGTTGATCTGATGAAGATGAGATAGAAGGAAACAGATTTTCATAAAACAAGACATCCCTGGACACAATTGTTTTATTCAAGGAGTGACAAAATAATTTATAACCCTTTTGATCTGAGGGATAACCCATAGAGATGCCTTTGTAGGATCTTGGTGCAAACTTATCTCTATTAGGGCTGGTGTTTACAACAAATGCTAGGCAACCAAAGACCCTTAGGTTACTGAGATCAGGTTTCTTATGATATAACAACTCATATGGTAACTTCCAGGAAAGAAGTTGACTAGGCAGCCTATTGATCAAGTAAGTTGAGGTTAAAACAGCATCCCCCCAGAAATGTTTAGGTAATGTGGAATGAAAAAGTAAAAAATGGGCAACTTGCAAGAGATGTCTATGTTTCCTCTCCACAACTCTATTTTGTTGTGGAGTGTAAGCATAGCTCCTTTGGTGCAGTATGCCAAATGAAGAAACAGTAGAAAGAAACTGTTAGTTTAGAAATTCTATGCTATTATCAGTGCGTATAGTTTCGATTTTGGCATCAAACTGAGTGATTATGTAATGAATAAAATGCTCAATCAGAGAAGGTACTCGTGATTTGTGTTTAAAGAGAAAAGTCCAAGTGCAACGAGTAAAGTCATCCACAATTGTTAGAAAATAATGACATCCAACAAAGGTATGCTGTTTGTATGGTCCCCAAACATCTATATGTAGTAATTCAAAAGATGTTTTGCTTTGTATACAACTGGAAGGAAAACTAAGTCTAGTTTGTTTAGCTAATGGACAAACTTGACATTTTTGAGACAACATAGAATGTGAATTACATTCAGGAAAATGCTGAACTATAGTTTCTGAGAGATAACACAATCTAAGATGCAATAGTTCTTGTGTAACTGCTGAAAAAACTTGATGTGGAGTGTTATCAAAAGGTTTTGAAGAAACTAGATTTCTGATGTGTATCATATAAGCAGCAAACTGAGCTTGTGACTGTTGAATTGATTCAGCTGTAAAGGAATATGAATCAAGAATGTAGAGTTCTTTGATGACCTTTCCTGCTGCAAGTACCTTGTTGGATTTAAGGTCCTGTAGCAGACAATAGTCAGCAAATAACTTGAAATACAAGTGGTTTATTTTGGCTAATTGTCGGACAGAAAGAGGGTTATACTTGAAATCTGGAAGATGCAAACAGGCAGTTAAGGTGACAGTTTTTGAAAGTACTACATCACCTATATGAGATACTGAATTTATGCTTCCATCAGGGAGCCATACAGGGGTAAAGACATTAACAGATTGTTTGTTAATCATTAGAGCAAGATCAATGCACGTATGTCGTGTAGCATCACTATTAGACACCCAAGAACCAGGTTTAATAGAATATTTTGCAAAGAACTAAGTTTAGTGAGACAATAGGTACCTGCAAAAGCATCAAAATGCACAAAGTTCACAGTAGTGCTTCCTGAATTCCCTCCTGAGTTGACACCTACACCTTTTCCTTTAAGAAAGCGTCTTACTTCTCTTTGCACTGCATTAGAAATTACCACTTGCAAATCTTCATTCTCATTCCCCATTTCTACCAGAGGTGTATTAGGAATAGTCACATTGTTGGCAGCATTAGTATTCCTTTGTAATTTATTCTTACACTCATCCCACCATTCAGGGAATCCATTAAGCTTAAAACACTCTTCATTTATATGTCCTGACCTCTTACAATGATCACAGAATAAGGTGCTCTTGTCTTTCTTCTTGAAAGCATTCTGGAAGCCTCCTCTCTTGAAGATCATTGGTTTCTTCCAGTCACTCGTTTTCACAGCCATTGCTGAATGCTCAACTGGTAGTGCCATGATTGTGCTGACTTATCTATGCTTCTCAGTCGTCAAAATCATGTTATAAATCTGATTCACTATCGGCAATGGATCCATATACAGAATGGTACTCCTTTCTCGTTCATAGACATCATTCAAACCCATCAGAAACTCCATTGCTTTGTCCTCTGCCTCCCTATTGATAACCATGGCCACAAACTCACTGTTCTCCACTAAATCTGGTCTAATTTGAGTATATTGATCCCAAAGTTGTTTCAATTTTTCATAGTAGGCAGCTACTGAAGAATCACTTTGCGTTATCAGAGTAATCTCATGCTTAATTTCAAACATTTGAGGCAAATTTGTTGTACCATATTGTTCAGCAATATCTTTCCAAAGAGTACGAGCATCATATATGAAAGCAAAAGTGTTTGCAAGTTCTGGTGTAATTGAACTTTTAATCCATGAACATACCATGCTATTGACCTGTTTCCATCTAACAAATTGAGGAGAATTCACCGGTGGCTTGACCAAACTCCCTGTAACAAAGCCATCCTTCATCTTTGCTTCAAGAGCTGAGAGCATTGCACCTTTCCATATGGAATAATTTTTTTCATTCAGCAAGACTGATACCAATGGCATTCCTGGACTTTCTGATCCATGAACTTGGAGCTGCAAGTCAATTAATGCCTCCAACTCTCTCTGTTCATCCCTTCCTACCAGATTTTGCTAGCGAATTGACGATTTTTTCATCTTTCTTCAGCAATTGACTTTCTATTACCTCTTTGATTATCAAGAAATTACAAAATTTATTCGGCTAATATAGTTGAATTATTCTATTGTAATCAGCAGAAGTCAGAGCATGATCAAGCCTGCTCTGATACCATCATACTAATAAGATAATTCATGATTAAGATCAGAGAAACAATAAGGCAAATCAAGTAATTGATATAAGGTGATGAACAATTGAAGATTAGGGTTTCAGGTGGAGAAAGCTTGGAGAAGAAGATTTTCGTATTGATGAATTTCGAAGTTTCTCCGTGTATTTTCTGTGTATATTCAGTACAAAAATCAGCTATATACATATATATACATATACATACAGGAATATACAACTAACTAATCAAGACAGCATGTACATTCTACTCACAAAAGAAAAACAACTAATCTAAAGGCTAATATGTACGTTGAAGCTAAAAACGAATAATCAGGATTTGATTCTCCGATCACACGGATTGATGACTTGGCAACTCCTAGTAACGTTCCTGATGCCAAGGTCGATTACTCAAAGCTGCATTGTAGTTGCGTTTCTGTGAACTAAAAGCAGCACGTGGTCAAGAAGCTTCCTGATGAAAGAAGGAGAAGGAGTGTGATGGTCCAGCTAGCATACATGCAGGACCATTTTGATCCTGTGTTGTTTTGCCTGACTTATCCGACGTGGAACAAGGATCCAACACTGGATTTGAAGAATATTTCAACAGATACTCGTGTCAAGCCTATGCTACGAGGCTTCTAAGAGGATCATTTGAGAATGTGGAATATTTTTGTTGAGAATGTAGTCTTAGGGCTATTTGATAATATCCTTTATAACATTTAAAGTGATTTAATTAAGAAATTATGTATGGTCTTCTTTTCCAAATACTTTGAGTAACACAAAAATTAAGAACTAATTATTGATATATATATAAATTTTCTTTTATCCCTAATTAATTAGACTACCTAATTCAAGTGGTTCTCTATTGAGATTCTATAAATAGTGTTTGAAAAAGTACATGGATAATTTGGGATAAATTTAAAAAATTGCGTATTGAAAAACCAAGTGAACTTATTTTATTGTGATGTAATCTTAAATAGAAAGTGGACTTATATTTGAAAACGATACAGTATTCAGTATCTTTAATAGCAAAAATTAATTACGACAATACTTAAATCGCAATACAATATATAAATAGAAAAATATTAAAGTATTAAATAAATTTAGTATTTCGTTTCAACATTAACATTCATAGTTAAAATTAATTTTTAATCAAACAAGTCCTTAGAGTTTAAGGTGATGGCCTCCATTATTGCACCAAAATCAATAAATAAATAAATTTTTGAAAAACATGAGTAGCATACACATCTAACATGGATGAAATTAAGGGGCTCGATCGCGGCCAGCCGAATTTTCCTTTAATAAAATTGTCCGGCAGCTGAAATTTTACTTTTCGATCCCTCAATGATGACAGTTGAATAATTTTATTTTTGACTATAGCATTTAACAGTTCTCATTCCGTCACATCTTCAAAATACATGTAATGATTTTTCTCATCTTGGTCTTTTTACTTGATCTGTAATAATCTCACATTAATCTGTATTAGATGCGTAAAAAACACAAATTTCTGACAATAACACACACAAAAAAAAAAGCCCAAAAAAAAGAGAGGATATATATTTATTTATTTCGATTAAAAGAGAGCGGCTGGAGACTACAGCAGCCTAGTTGGGACGGGTCGGTATAAACTCGCGTCTCTGATTCGAGCACTCTGTTATTTTCCGGCAATCAATCGTTCCTCGATCCGGCAATCTCTCTCGAGCTTCTATTGTCTTCATGTAAGTGTATATTCTATTGTATTCAATCTTTGATAATTAGGTCGGTTTGCAAGGTAGGGTTTTTTTAATCGGCGAGTTCGGATTTATGTTCAAAAGCAATCGGTCATCCTGTCTCAATCTTGTTTCTGTCATATATGAAAATCCTTAATTCAATACACCAAAGTTCTGTGAGGGTGTTAGCTGTATAGGTAGCTAGATTAACTTGAGTTGCTTTGTTCGAGATTTTTGCTATTAGGGTTCTCTTGTGTTGCCGAAGGCTGTTGGATGGGAAAACACATAGAAAAAGCTTATTTCTGAGTTGGGGCAGAACTTGTAGGGTTTCCGGAGAATAAATGGGGTTGGTTATTATCGAATCTGTTTATTAAATTTGATCAATTCGTTTATATGAGAACCTACTGATCATCTCTTGTGAGTCTTTGTTTTAAATAAAATATCTTCTATTGAATTGAATGACAAAGAGTTAAGCTCACTCATGTATGACCTGCGGTTGGTGCATCAGTGGACCATGGCAGATTTAGAGAACATGCTGCTGGAGGCAGCTGGGAGGACAAACGCAAGCGAGAGGAGCCGTCGTCAGTCTCCACCTTCTAGAAATCGCCGCAAATATTCATATTCTGATGATGGAAGTGACTCAAAAGATGATGACTCTGATGATGGTCGTGGCTATTCAACCAGAAAACCTTCTGGTTCACAGGTACCGCTGAAAAAAAGGTTGGACCCGACAGAAAGGGATGATGATCGTAGTAGTCGTGAAGAAGGCGATGAAGAAGATGGATATAATGACCGTGACAGTGATGATGATTCTGTTGGGAGTGACCTCTACAAGGATGAAGATGACAGGAAAAAGCTCGCGCAGATGTCTGAACTCCAGAGAGAAATGATATTGGCAGAGCGTGCAACAACAAGAAGTGATAGAGAAATGCACGAGAAGCTTGCAAAGAAAAGGAAAGTGAGCCCCCCTCACACAAATTCTCGTGCAGTGCGCTCGTCCACTAGATTTGCTGAGAGGGTAACTGCCAAGGACGATGCATTGAATGAGATACGAGCAAAACGCATGAGGCAGCAGGATCCTGAGGCTCATCAGAAACTCAAGGATGTGTCTAGAGATGGCTCTAAAGTACGAGGCTATTCACCTGTCAAGCGGAGGCCGTTTGCAGCCGCAATTATAGGTAGTCCTACCAGAAGTGCATCTCAGAGCGATGAGGAAGAGTCGACTGGTGATGGTGGACTTGGGGATAGCGAAGACGAGAAGGCATCAGCAGAGTCCAAGTGGCCAACTTATGAGGAGATAAAAGATATTTCCATCCGAAGGTCCAAATTGGCAAAATGGTTGATGGAGCCCTTCTTTGATGATTTGATGGTTGGCTGCTTTGTAAGAGTTGGAGTTGGGAAAAGTAAAACTGGGCCTGTATACAGGCTTTGTTCTGTCCGCGGTGTTGATGCATCAGATCCAGATCGCCTGTATAAGCTCGATAACAAAACTACCTACAAGTACTTAAATGTGGTTTGGGGCAATGAAAGTAAATCTGCCAGATGGCAGATGGCCATGATGTCAGACTCTCCACCATCCAGGGATGAGTATGACCAATGGGTTAGGGAGGTAGAGCGGCATGGTGGTCGTATGCCAAGCAAACAGGAGGTATTGGAAAAGAAGGAGGCCATCCAGAAGACGAATTCATTTGTCTACTCTGCTGAAACTGTTAAACAGATGCTGCAGGATAAAAAATCTGCAACATGGAGACCGTTGAATATTGCTGCTGAGAAGGATCGCCTAAGAAAACAAATGGATGTTGCCAGGGAAAAAAATGATGAACAAGAGGTTGAGAGGATTAAGTCAAAACTCCAAGAACTAGAAGCTGCTCGTCTTTCTCAGGAGATGGACGAAAAGGCTAAGAGGTTGGCAGAGATGAACAGAAAGAATAGGGTTGAAAACTTCAAGAATGCATCGGGATCGAGACCTGTCAATTCTGATTTAAAAGCTGGTGAAGCTGGGTATGATCCCTTTTCAAGGAGATGGACCAGGTCTAGAAATTACTATGTCAAAACCCCTAATGAAGAAGCAGCAGCAGCTGCTGCTGCTGATGCTGGTGCTGGTTCAGCTGCCAATGGAGTTTCTGTGGAGGCAGGAATTGATGGTAAAGCAACTGCTTCAAAACTGGGGGCGTTGGTCGACACAAGTGCGCCTGTAGATCAGGGGACAGAGTCGAACAAGCAGCATGAGTTCAGAATAGAAATTGTACTGGACGAATCTCACAAGTACAAAGCCCAAGCAGGTTTCATGGCTCGGAAACAGAGAATTGAAGCAACTATTGGGTGTAGGGTTCCAGAAAACGATGGGAGGAGACATGCATTAACCTTGACTGTCAGTGACTACAAAAGGAGAATGGGTCTGCTTTGATTTTCATTTCTGATGCAGCAATAGACTCCTGCTTATCAACATTACAATGTTGTGTAATGCGGAGCTGAAGCATGTTCTTGCAACAATTTGGGAGCACTTTAGATCTGTTTGGGCATGCATTTGCATCTGATGTAGCTTTGGTGATATTTATGTTGGAAGAAAATTGTCATGTGATTGCTTTATCTTGTTGGACAATACGTGCGGAGGTTTTTCTAACGCTCCCTGCTATTTCCGATTATCTTTATATGCTCAGAAGTTAGCTTCCATGCCCCAGCCATAAAAGTTACCTACACAGGACACGAACATGTGGTATTCACTTACGCCCGGAAATAACCATCTAATTTTTGTGCTAATATTTTTAGGACAACAAACATGACAAATGTCAAAGTCTTGGGAGTTTGTTTGAACTCTCTACACTTAGGACCCCACCACAAGTCAACAAAAGACCAAACCTGGTGCTTGCTGTACAGTGTCCACGAATGTTCGTAGATTACCATCGAGTTTGAAAGTTGTTGAAAGCTGAAACATCAGTAAATGGATGAAATACAACACAAATACCTAGAGATCAACGGGCTAAAGCTTCATGTAGCTGAGATTGGAGGAGGGAATGGATCCAAGGTCGTAGTGTTCTGTCATGGGTTTCCCGAGACTTGGTACTCATGGCGCCACCAAATGATTGCTGTTGCCAAAGCTGGTTTCAGAGCTATTGCACTCGATTATCGAGGTTATGGATTGTCCGATGCACCGCCCGTCCCGGAAGAGACCTCTTTCTCCGACCTCGTCAACGATCTCTTTGCCTTACTTGTTTCTCTCGGCATTTCCAAGGTCAGTTTTCTTCTTTTTTTTTTTTTCTCTGATTCATCTATTTATTTATTCATCTGCTTCGTGTTCTATCTGAGAATGTTCTTGACAATAAGATTGAGATTCCCTAGAATTCATCCCATTCAGAAAGTTTAGTAGGCCAAACTTTACTTTAAAAGTGAATACTAGTCTGATCCGTCAGGGAAAAAGTGCTGTTATCTACTTAAAGATTTATTATTGGGGAAGTACTGTTGAAAATCAACTTACTTCGTGGTGAAAAATGCAGGTTTTCCTAGTTGCTAAAGATTTTGGGATCCGAGTAGCTTGTTTCTTTTACCTTCTACATCGGGAAAAAGTTGAAGGAATTGTTACACTCGGTGCACCTTGCATGCCTCTGAAGTCCTCTGAGTGGCAGAAATATCTACCTGAAGGCTTTTATATCTCAAGATGGCAGGTGCAGAATAGTCTGATGAACCCACCCTTTTTTGTTTTCGCAGAAAATAATCATTTTTTTAAAAAATAATTTTTTGCTACATTTACTGCTTATTATTGTGAGCGACTCTAGAAGGGAGGATAAAACTCTGGGATTTCAGCTCTATTTTTAAATCATATTCTTGATCCTAGGAACCTGGAAGAGCTGAAGCTGATTTCGGTCGTCTTGAGAGGAAAGCAGTTTTCCAAAACATTTACATTCTGTTCTCAAGAAATGAAATACCCATAGCTGGAGAGAACAAAGAGATAATGGACTTGGTGGATTCATCTTCTTCTGTACCTTCTTGGTTGACCAAGGAAGATCTTGACGCGTATGGCACTCATTATGAAAAATCAGGATTCCAAACAGCTTTACAGGTGCCTTATAGGTAAGGAATCATTAGACAGTAACGATTAGTGAACTTGATGGGGGACCGTGCAATATCATTGTCATAAATTTTAAACTTTTTGGAAGACTAACATGCCGCATGCCTGCAAACTATATAACTATGCATTTTGCATTGAAGATGAAAAGTTTTCTGCAAAAGTTATGTCTAGTACTTTTCTTGAATAGTCATCTTTTTTTTTTTTTTTTTGAATAGTCATCTTTTTATACCAATATACATGCACAAATTCTTTGTAGAGATTTACCGTTTAGTTAAAATGGCGAACTTTGTGTTTCATGACTTCCCTTGATGAATCTTCTGCTTGAATTTTCATAGGTCATTGCGTGAGGAGTTCAACATATCAGAGGTAAGAATTGATGTCCCGGCACTGCTGATCGTGGGTGAAAAAGATTATGGTCTCAAATTTCCTGGACTGGACAACTTCATCAGAAATGAAGATGCTAAAGAGTTCACTCCTAAACTGGAGACTGTATACATAGCTGAAGGGACACACTTTGTTCAGGAGCAGTTTCCTCATCAAGTAAATGAGCTTTTGCTGAACTTTCTCAAGAACCATAGTTAATCAACAGTAGTCTACATCTAAATAACAGCCCTTCCATGAGGTTTTTTGGGCTAATGTATCCTTGAATGATCAATAAGTTTTTACTGGAAACTCCATCCCGTAAACAACGTGCCTTCACTTTGACGTTTAGCTACTACAAAAGGATAATAGGCCTGCCTTTGTTTTTTCCCGTGACAATGTTGTGTTGTGGCAAGTTGCAAAACATGTTATTGCAACCGTAGTAAAGCTTTTCTTATCTGATTTTTTACTTGCCTTAACTGTAGCTCTGGTAATATCCCAAAAACTTGCACGAAGTTGTCATTTGCGTTACTTTATGTTTGATAACATGTACACGGATGTTTTCATTGAAGCTTGACGCTGTTGTGCCTGATTAATTTCAGGCTTCCTTTTTCTTAAAAAAAATCTTCTTTCTTTTAGAAAAAAAAAAGATGTAAAATACGATTCGTTTATGAATTACTTGCCCTAAAACATTATTATGACCCACCCTTAGCAGAGGTCAACGCAAGTGGACAAACTGATCTTGCTGTCATGTGTCTGCAAATTTTCGTCATCGTCCTTTAAGTATCAATCTGCAGTTGTTGGGTCCTTTAAAGCTACTCCAGTTGAAAATTGAAATCTGAAACATTCGCAAATGGATGTAGTTGAACACGAGTACATAACAAGCAACGGGCTGACGCTTCATGTAGCTGAGATTGGAGGAGGAGAAGAAGGGTCAAAAGCTGTGTTGTTCTGTCATGGGTTTCCTGATATATGGTATTCTTCGCGCCATCAAATGATTGCTGTTGCCAAAGATGGTTACAGAGCGATTGCACCTGATCACAGAGGTTATGGATTTTCTGACCCTCCACTTGTCCTCCCCGAGACTACCTTCTCCACCCTTCGTTGATGATCTCTTTGCCTTGCTTGTTTCCCTCAATATTCCTAAGGTTGGTTCTCTTTCTCTGTTTCTTTCTGTATTAACTACTAGTGACTTGCTTTGTCTTATAAGTGATACTGTGATATGATTATAGTTCATTTCAAAACGGAGAAATGCAGGTTTTTCTAGTGGCTAAAGATTTTGGTGTACGGGTTGCTTATCTTTTTTCCCTTCTACACCCGGAAAAAGTTGGAAGGAATTGTTACATTTGGCGCACCGTGCATGCCTCGGAGGTCCCCTCAGTTGCAGAAGTCCCTCCTGAAGGCTTCTTCATCTCAAGATGGCAGGTACAAAATACCCTTCCTTTCGTTAACTAAATTAGCTTTACTTGCCATTGTAATGAGCTCGTTACACGTTAGGACCAGTGAGGAATTGAAATTCGCGGGACTTTACATTGTGGTTTTGTAATTATGAATTTCTGATCCTAGGAACCTGGCAGAGGTGAAGCTGATTTTGGTAGGCCTGAGACTCAAGCAGTTTTCCAGAATATCTACATTATGTTCTCAAGGAATGAAATACCAATAGCTGCAGAGAACCAGGAGATAATGGATTTGGTGGATGCATCTTCTCCTTTACCCTCTTGGTTGTCTCAGAAAGATCTCGAAGTCTATGGAGCTCATTATGACAAATCTGGATTCAAAACGGCATTGCAGGTGCCTTACAGGTAGTGTGAGCTATAAAAATAGCAGGGACTGGTGTCGGGATAAGTTGCGTCAGATTAGGTTACCTTAATTTTGAAACATCTTATGAAATTTGAATACTTAGAAGTTGGCATAAGCTTTTACTGCTATGCTGCACTGCACCTTACATAGAAGATGCAGAAAATCAGAAATCTTTAGGTACATCACCATTCTTGACTTAAGCATCGTTCCTCCCATGCAAAATGCTTTGGACAAGAGGTTCAATCGTAGCCTTCAGTTGTGGAACATCATGTGCGTTTCATGATCTCTCTTGATGAATTTTCTGCTTTGGTCATTCATAGGTCACCGCATGAGGAGGTCAACATATCCGAAGTGAAGGTTAATGTCCCGGCGCTGCTGGTCATGGGCGAAAAGGATTATTTTCTCAAAGTTTCCTGGAATGAACCACTTCATCAGAAATGAAGATGCGAAAGACTTTGCTCCGAAACTGGAGACAGTATACCTTGCTGAAGGGACGCATTTTGTTCAGGAGCAGTTTCCCGATCAAGTAAATGAGCTTCTGCTGAACTTTCTCAAGAACCACTCTTAATCAACAGTCTAATTTCCATGTAGACTCTTTAATTTTCAAACAAGCTTTTTGCTGGAATTCCAACTATATCAACATCGTACATTTTCCGTTCGTGTACTATATCCTTGTTTGTGCGAAAAAATCACTCAACCGAAAGAAAAAAAGGATAAAAATCTCTCAAACAAAAAAATATTCAGAATGATTGTGAATGAGTTCGAAAACAAGCCTCAGGACAAGAAATCGAGGACTTATGTTTTACTTTGGTTTATAAAAGAATAAAAAAAGAGAAGATAGTGGAAAACTATTTATATATAAAAGGAAAAAGACCTAGTGCCGACAGGGAACTCCCGATCGATGGTACGCTTATAAACTCAGATATTAGTGCCGACTAGACTAGACGCAGCCGATGACACGTTATGACACGGACCAGAGACATTAACGTCGACACGGAAGTCCATATCGATGACACGGACCAAAGATACTAACGCCGACACAGAAGTCCATATCGATGACACGGAAGTACATGCATACACGCGCCGACACGGAAGTCCATATCGATGACACGCTATTACAGAGATATGGAATTCACTGAAGTAGAACTCATGAACGACTACCTACTTTTATGAACTGAAAGAAAAACAAGATAACTGAAAGAAAAACAAGATAAAAGAGGAGGCGACGGCGGCCATTGTGTTGTTTCTTGATTGAGCGAGTGATGATTCTTGCTGTGCTGCCCAACTCTCTTTTATAATCATGAAGAAGTAGTCTGAGCGAGTGATGATTCTTGATGTGCTGCGCAACTCTCTTTTATAATCATGAAGAAGTAGTCGGCCGCCCTTAATTTCTTGGAAGAGAAGACTCCTAGTTTGTAGGACTTGTGCGAGCCGTGGACTCTTGCTTCCTTGTTGTAAAGGGAATCTATCAATTAACTCTCCATATATATAGAAAGTTAGGCATCCCGTAGGAATCTTCTTAATGAAAGCAAATCAAAGCAAATCAGATGGATGCAACGGTTTCAGAATTCGTAACTCTTGATGGAAGTTGGAATTGGGTGGCGTTTCAGAGCCTGTTGCCGGCAACTTGTTTATTACGAATTGCTGCCGTCGATGTGCCACGACAAGGAGCTGGTGAGGATCGTATCTACTGGGGCTTTTCGGAGGATGGAAGGTTCTCCACACGGTCGGCATACAGGTCTTTGGCACCTCCTCCAGTCACGAATAATAACCGATTATGGAGATTAATATGGAACTGGACGGGTCCCCAGCGTATTCGTCATTTTCTTTGGCTTGCGGCAAAGGAAAAGCTGCTGACAAACGATGAAAGGACTCGTCGCCACATTTCTGATACGGCTGATTGTGATTTCTGTGCAGCTGATCGGGAATCAGTCTTGCATGTACTTCGGGACTATCCGGCTGCGAAGAAGATTTGGCGTCGACTAGTGCCGGTGAGTAGACAACAAAGTTTCTTCACTTTGCAGTTGGAAGAATGGTTTTGGCATAACCTTAATAGGAAGTTTGAAGGCTTTCCTGAGGACTGGGATTGCATTTTTGGGGTAACAACTTGGCGCCTATGGTGCTGGCGGAATCGGCGAATTTTCGAAGGGGTGGACATTGGTGACATACATCGTATGACGGAGATTGTGAAGGTAGTCGGGGGAATTAAAGGAGCTTCTCAATATGAGAAGTCCATGCGTGGAGCTTGTGTCGGGTGGGAGGAAAGGTGGATCCACTGGATTCCGCCGCCGGTTGACTGGGTGAAGGTGAATTCTGATGGCAGCGTTGATCCATCCATAGGAGTTGGCTGTGCGGGTGGAGTTGTTCGGGATTGCCATGGTAGATGGTTGGGGGGTTTTATGATGAAGGTCGGGTTTTGTACCATTACTGGTGCGGAGCTTTGGGGTTTATTCGAAGCCCTAGTACTAGCATGGGATCTTGGTTATAAGAAAGTGAAGGCGGAAGTGGATAGCTCGAGCGTTGTGCGGATGGTGAAGGGTGACGAGGAAGTATTAGGTATTCATTCGAGGATTGTAAGCGGGATTCGGGAAGTACTACATCGAGATTGGCTTGTAGAAGTTGACCATGTTTATCGGGAGGCGAATTTCGTGGCCGATTATTTAGCTTCTTTAGCATCTTCGGGCCCGGTTGGTCCGCAAAGATTAGTGTCACCTCCGTTAGGTGCCAGGCCCTGGCTACAACATGATGTACTAGGGGTGGCATACCCCCGGAATGTAAGAATCTAGGCTTTTGCCTCCTTCTTCGTACCAAAAAAAGTAATCCTTTCTCTCCCAAATAATTCCAATTCTAATATGAATAATATTAGCCTTCAAATTAAATTTCTTAATTATAGTAAATATCTCATAATTAACAATATTGACGGTTGATCTTGTTCACACTTCCGGGAATCTCTGATTTATACGAGTTGATGACTTCCGAAACTCTTTATTTGCGGGCCGGTTCATATTATTTGTTGGGCTGATACCATTGACGAAATTGGTGTTAACAATCCTGAGCTAAAACTTTCTACATTTGTTTAATTAATAGTGATTAATATCACTATCTGGAAGGGCCAATGCTAGGCTAAAAGATCGAAAACCTGATGGTTAAGGTAAAGGGACAATAAAGCCCAGGCCAGGACCAACACAGCATTTGGGGAGGAAAAGTGTAGTGCGCAATTCCATGTTAAAAAATTCTTTAAAAAATGGAAAAGATAGGACGAACCATGTGTTTCTTTACTTCAACAAGAACGTCTCTTATGGGGTAAAGGTAAAGGTTGTTTGCTCATCAATTGATTCGATTCTCCATAATAAGAAAGAAACTGCAGTGGGCCAAATGACATGATCGATTATTGAATGTAAGCGCACATTCGGTCTTTGCTTCCAATTAGGCCGCAAGGTACATACATGATACAAGTACAACTACGTAAGGAGATTCATGCATTAAACGGATGTTAGATTGTTTTTTTTTTTCCAATAATAATGAAAAAGTAAGTACATAAAAGAATAAATCATTATATTACGAGAATATACTGTGTAACAATATGACACTTCAATTACGGTTTAAATCTCAAGCCTTTAGTCATTGATATTTGATATATATATATATATATGTGTATATGTATGTATACTTGAGATTTGCCTTTTGGTATTTGATGGAAATATTTCCCAGAAATTCCCATTGGACTGCAACACTGAACAAACTTTACATTTTCAATTGATGAATCGTAACTGGCAAATAGTATTGCAACATGAATTTAGAGATCAACGGCTTTTTAAGATTGTATGTCCTTCCACATGGAGAATTTCTTTTGTTAGAATATGATATTATTGAGTCTCTTATTCTAAAAATGTTATAGTATCATAATTTAGGTTCTTATCTCTTTCATTGTACCAAAAAAAAAGAAATACACATTTTTCCTATAAAGAAGATTCGAGATCTAACTATTTTTTAAAGTATTTAAATTCTGGACTGACTCATTTAGAAGGCAGGAGTCGCTGGACTACAGATATTCTCTAATGAACACATTAATGCAGCATTACAGTATAATAACACTTGATAACACTCGTCCTAAAATGCTAGAATTAAAAAAAAAAGTGTCACAAATAATTTAAAGTTGTAAAATAGAATAGTAATCCATCAACATAAAGTCACCACTAAAAGCATGTTTATCAAGAATCAATGATGGCCTTCTGCTAAGTCAGTCAATCACAATAAACCAAACTCCAACCTGCCAATTCCCTTAAAATTAGTTTTCCACACTGCCCGCGTTTTTCTCCCACTCCCTCCCAAAAGCTCAATTCTTCACCATTGGCGGCTCTTAACCCAACCACTTTCCTTTTCTTACCCTGCCATTTGTATTAAATCAATAACTTCTGCTTCCAAAAATCTTCAGTTCACAGAACCCAACACAACATTTTCAACAATCTCCGTGCACCAATTTTTTGCCGCGCCCTTTGTTTGTTTGTGACAAAGAAATTTATAAAAGAAAAGGATGTTCTTGAACTTGGTTTCCCAGACTTTACTCTTTGACAGAGACACAAACCTAAATCCTTAGCTATGAAAAATATCAAAACTACTACTACTACTGCAAATTTTGTTGCAGAAGTACACCAATGGAGGCCTTTAAGATTGGCATAAAGCTGAAGCTCTCTCAGCTTCTTCTGTATCTGTTAGTGATTGTTCTTATAGCTCATAGCTCTGTGACCATATTCAGTATACACATCCCTTTTCCGGTTCCCGCCAGATTCTCCCGGGAAAATGCTGCCGGGAACTCAAGAACGTTGGTGTTTTCGTCTTCATCCGGAAAAGTTTCATCTTTTGTGATGCATGCTGTAAAAGAAGAAGGCCCAGCTGCAGAAAAGAAGACCCTTTTGTATAAAGATCGAAACTTGGGAAGTTTTAGGAACAGTTCATCTGTTTCTTTTCACATTAAGAAAAGGCATTCTAGAAGGGCTTTGAGCAAAATTTTGGGGTATGAGGGAGAAATGAAGCTGTTCTCCAAAAGAGTGAAGGAATTTTTTCATCCTGCTTCGGCTAATTCTTCTTGTAAGTTTCGCTTCTTTATGACTTGGATATCTTCATCAAAACTTTTTGGTAAGAGAGAGATTTCCTCCATGGAAAGTTTGTTTAAATCTCATCCAGATGGTTGCTTGATTATAGTCTCCAATTCAATGGATTCAATTGGTGGGATGGAAATTTTAAGACCTTTTTTGGACAAGGGATTCAGGGTATCTGTGATTTCCCCTGATTTCAATTATTTGTTCAAGAATACAGTAGCACAAGCTTGGCTTGATAAACTAACAAAGGGAAATTTGGATCCCGGAGAGATTTCCTTGGGCCAAAACCTCTCCAATTTGCTTAGGCTTGGTTTGCTTTACAAATTTGGTGGGATTTATATAGATACTGATGTTTTAGTGTTGAAGAGATTCCACCGTTTCAGGAATGCCATTGGAGCTCAGACAATCAACCTTGAGACAGGAAACTGGAGCAGGTTGAACAATGCTGTTATGGTTTTTGATAAAGGGCATCCTTTGCTTTACAAATTCATCGAGGAATTTGCACTTACTTTTGATGGTAATAAATGGGGGCATAATGGCCCATATTTGGTTTCAAGAGTTGTTTCCAGGATAAGTGAAAGGCCTGGATACAATTTCACAATTTTGCCTCCCAAGGCATTCTATCCAGTTGACTGGAGTAGGATTGGCAACCTCTTCAGAGCACCAGTGAATGAGTCTCAGTCAAAATGGATGTTTCATAAGCTTCAGCATATCCAAACTCAAAGTTTTGCCGTGCATCTTTGGAATAAAGAGAGTAGAAAGCTCAAGATTCAGAAAGGAAGCATTATCCAACACATAATGGCAAATTGTTGCATTTTTTGTAACAATCATACTTCAGTTCTTGGTATCATTACTCACTAGGCGGAAGAAATATGGTAAGGACTTAAATCGAAGTTGGATTAAAGTCCGAATTTGTGTGTTATACTCTTGTTGAATGTCACGAAGGACCAACTCAGTCCTTCTACATTTTTTATATTTGAAGAGATGTAAAGAGGCATTTAGCATGTATTACGAGCAGGTATGTCATTCACTTGGTGTTGCCAGAATATCTTGAAGCAACTTATACAGGACCAACTGTACATATCTCTTCTTCACATATTTATGTTGATTAATAATATTAGGCCATTAAATTAGATGATATGGCTCTGCCATCTTATTAAGGTGAAAGCTGTGGTCCTATAGTAATGCAGACAAGTTTACCACTTTTGAGTTTTAACTGTGAAGCAGATATATTTTTGGTTGGTAGCTGCATTTATTAAATCCTTTCTACGCTTTAAAAGGCAGTTTTTCCGATGATTTTACTGTTGTACATCCGTAATTTACTAGGTTTAGTTTAGCCTCCCCAACTTTCTTCCAAGCTCCAAACCTTGCATGGATAGTGTATCATAGTTCCTTTAGAATGATTGCCAATTCGAATGGTTTCAGATGAATGTCGATGATGCGGTAAAGCTGAGCAAAGAAGATGCAAAATGTGATATATTCGGCCTTTTTCTTCACCTGGCAATAATTGTGTAAGCTACAAACAGTTGCATTTAACAGAAATTTGGAGTATAATGCCAAGCATGCACGTGTTTCATTTGGATGTTGCTCACTTTTGTTCCTTTTGTGATGTGCATTCCGATCTGAAACTAACGGAAAGTAGTTCAGCCATAAATATTAATCATGCCCAGATTTTACGAACCACAAAATTGACAGTAAAAGGAACTCTGAGTTGGGATTCAACCTCTCCAATATGTACTCAGCTTTCTGATGTCTGCAAGTCTGAACTTTCTATACTAATACAAATATTCATGTAAGGCAATGAAATTGCCTTCTTGAGATTTTTATGGATACCCAAGTGGCCTACAAAGTTGCTACAGAATATGATGATGGATTATGGCAAATTGGCATCTGCAAAATGCCCGGGCCAACATGTTTGTCTCCCTTTTTAGAGGTCCATTATTCGTTTTGCAATCATTTAGGTGAAGTTAGATGCAAATTTAGGCTTTAAACAATAGAAACAAGGTAAGCCCCTAACTTTTTTCAGAGCCATCCTTATCTTTTGTTTGTTTTATGGCTGTCTTCAATTGCATGTGGTCCTTTTCAATGCCCTTTCCCTTTCCAGTCTTATCTCTTGCTCAAGTGTCAATGTGTTAGTTCCGTTTTGGCATTTAAGAATACAACAGTGCTGATAACGACTCAGAAACAGTAAAATCTCTGATTGATTAATAATTGAACCGTAAGTCTACACTACTGTAATCTGTCTCCTTCATACGACACAATGGAACCTGAAAATAAGGATTACAGTTACTGTTTGATCGGTAACATCTAGATTACATGGAATAAGACAGAAGAAAACAAAGTTGAAAAGTTTACTCAGTACACCTGTACATCCCATGTAGTTTACAGTGTCTCATTTAATATCTGAAAGTTTCACCTCAAGTATTTCTTGTATCTGCAGTTTTTATCATCTCGTGTTACAAGATGATTTATTGTCTTAAACCTGTGTTCATGGATTCTGCGTTAGAAGATCAACATCTCCGCGCTCTACTTCAAATCCTTTCGAGTGTTTGTCATAGTGGAAAAGCATTTCAATCTGTTCAAGGGACTTCCCCTTTGTTTCTGGAACATACTTGTGAATAAAAATGACAGATAGACATGAAATTGCTGCAAAGATGAAAAATGTTCCTCCAACGGTAATGGCGCGAGAGACCGTGAGGAAAGACATCGCCACCAGACCGCTACTGACTCTATTCGCCACTGCCACAATTGCAGATGCCTGAGCTCGAAGTCTTAGAGGAAAAATTTCAGATGTTAGAACCCAACAAATTGGACCAATTCCCACAGAAAAGAAAGCTACATTTCCGCATGCGCAAAAGATAGCCAAATTTAGGCGAACTGGATCATCCCCCGGCATACAAAGAGCAAAGCCTAAAATGAACAAACAGGCAGTCATTCCTATCGTACTCACATAAAGAAGTGGTTTTCTTCCTACTTTGTCGATTAGGAAAATAGCTGTTAGAATGAATATCGTTTTGCTAAATCCAACAGCGACTGTTGCAGCCAGAAGCGCCTCATTGCTATTGATCCCAGCATCTTTGAAGATTGTCGGGCTATAATAAACAGTTGCATCAATGCCAGTGATTTGTTGGAGAATCTGAATTCCACAACCTGTAATAAGCATCCTTTTAACTCCAGGTGATGGGTGCAGTAGTTCACGCCATACCATAGTTCCATCATATTTTTCTGTACTGGTAAGCCCTGCAGCTACTTGTATTTCTGCCAACCTTTTCTCCGCTTCTTCTGAACTTTTGTTTGTTTTAACAAGCACCAACTTTGCTTGACTCATCTTGTTTTGCATTACCAACCACCTCGGTGATTCAGGGATGACAAGCAGTGCAAAACCGATAAAAATTGATGGGACAATCCCAACAGCAAGCATGATCCTCCAGTTCTTGTCTTCAGGGAATCCTGAGAATGCATAGTTTGAAATGTAACCAAGCAGGATTCCAAGGTTAATGAAAATCTCAGGGAAAGAGGTCAATGTTCCTCTTGCACTAGCTGGTGATATCTCAGCAATGTATGTCGGTGTGATCATCACGCCAATGCCTATTCCGATTCCAGCCATTATCCTTCCCAGCATTAGGATAAGAAACGAGGGAGCTAGAGCCATAACGGCAACACCAATCTGGAAGACAATGGTGGCGAATGCCATAGTCCACTTTCTACCCATGGCATCTGATGTTTTACCACCTGCTAGACTCCCTACTAGAGAAACTATGCTCAAGATTCCAACAAGAACTTCTTCTTGAAACTCTGAAATCTTCAAATTCTCCTTGATAAACAAAATTGCTCCAGTCATAACTCCAATATCTGTCAATCAAGATGTACATTGAGTTTGCAATATTACAAGATAAAGAAAACGGCTGGTAAATATTGTCAGCTTAAAAGAAACTGACTTGAAAGGAGTATGTATATGAGTGCTGTTAAAAGCCTCAAGCTTGAATAAAAAAAAATTAGGCCTATTGTTAAAGCGCTTTTTCTTCTTAGTCTGAGATAATTCATCCAGCTAAAGCGTCTGTATACAACCATTTGGGCTAATACTGAGATGTTCAAAATGTACACAGCAGAATGCTTGGAAATTAACTAGCATTAGACTCCAGTGGAAAAAAACACACACACAACTTTAAATATGATGAAGCTAAGTTCCAAATCCACTGCTGATACTGTAAACCAGTTGAAAATATGCATAAAAGGTAAAGAAAGGATGTACCAACCATATCCAAGAAGCACAGAAATTAGAGAGGCAAAGATCGCGCTAAACATGACATAATTCTCGCTGCGATTTTTCCCATTTTCATTACACAAAACACCAACAAATTGTCCTTCAATCTTATCATCAGAATCAACCCCTCTTGTGCATTTTAGTACTCCCATGTTCATTTACTTTCTGAATCATTTCTCTTTGTTCCATCCATGTAAAAGAATGTTCACTTTTAAGGAATTATTTATATACACAAACAGAAGTTCAAAAGATTAGCTCAAACGGGAACATTAAAGGTCTCACATCCAGTAGGAGAATAAGAAGAGATGGCTGATAAACAATAGTGGTGTTTAATTCTTAGACTTTGGGCTGTTTGGTTAGGCCTAAACTGTGTACAACTGTCCTTCCTAGCAAAGCAGGGCGCCTTTTGTGGCTAGACGAGTCGTTTAAAACACACTGTTGATGACTTTTTTTTATAAGAAAATATCATAAATGAATATGGTCATTGAAAAAAAAGGTGTGTCCATCACATGTGCAGGCTACATTGCCGCACAAGAAGGGGAACACAATGGCAATAAATACGAGAAGTACTTCAATGCATTGGCGGCTATTTTCAGCCAGTTTGAAATCTAACAACATGATTATTTGAAAATTTTGTTCATTAATTAAAACTTCTTAACTTTTTTGCTTTTTGGTAAAAACTTTTGAGGTATTTTGTACTACATATTTTTGATGAAAAAGTTTTAAATCTAACATACACAAATTTTTTTTTTTATTTTCTTGTAAAATTGAGTTGTCCATTTGCGCGAAATAAGGGTTTGTTTGCCCAGTACTTATTTTGCATTTTTGTCTAATTTACCTCTTAAAACACCTCTCAAACACAAATGTCAATACTATCTAAAAAAACTTTTTAATTTACTTTTTAAAAAATATTCCAAAAATATTTTTACAAAACTACCGGCCGACGACCGGCCGGCCAGATTCCGACCAATTTCCTGCTCTAAAAATATTATTAATTTATTTAAAATATCACCCAAATAATTTTTTAAATTTTATCTCAAATTACATTTTAAATCACAACTCAAACTCTAATTAAAAATCAAAATAAAAACTAAAATAAAATGTTGGCCAAATAAGTCCTAAAATTCCTGAAATTCAACTTGCGAGTCACTCCTACTTTTCACCGTTTGGACTTAAAAGGCCATTTTAACTTGGGCTACATTTTTAAGGAATGGATAGCCCAAAATATCTGAGCCCATCGTTCATTAGCCCACTCTCCGTGACGGTTCAATACTTCGATCTATATTCTTCTTCCCCAGATACGTTTTTTATATTTTAGAGTGAAAGGATTCCCAAATCCTCCTAATCAAGTTTGGTTCCCTCTTTAGATTCGGAGCCTCGATATTTCGTTGGAGGAAAACAAAAATCGGAGGAACCAGGGCGGGAATCGGATATTATGACCGTCGAAGTCGCAAATGGCGTCGCCGGGGGCTTATCGTACCCCAACGGCGATTTGAAAACCCAAAACCCTAGCGCCAGCGTTAAGAAATCTAAGGAAAGCGAGCGGCGCCGGAGGCGGCGAAAACAGAAGAAGAACAACAAGGCAGATTCCACTGCTGCCAGTGAAGACGGCAACCATGCTGCTGCTGCTGAGGATGCTAATGGCACCACCGACAATGATAACGCTAAGGAGAACTCCGATCCTCAAAAGGTGAGTTTATTAACTTACAACACATGTAGCTATTGTGATTTTGTTTTTTCTTAGTGTGGTAAGTGGTTATGGAAATTTTTTTGGTGAGATGAATGAGGTATTTGCCTTTGCAAGTTTTTCATTAGTTCGCGGCCTGCTTTTTCATCTCTGCCTGCGCTGCTGAAAGGCAAAATATTAAAATCCTATAGTTATTTCCTCACTATTTTGGAATAAACTTAGCTTTATGGAATAAACCTACGTCTAACTTTTATCGAGCGAATAGAAATTGGCATTTTACATACCTGTTTGTGATATTTGCTTTTGAGAGCATTTGTAACTTTTTGGGTTGGAAATGTTTGATGGCTGCACATTTATCCATCTGGTGGAGGTGATTTAGGCTGAACATCACTCAGATTGAGTGGAGGGCAGAAAAGGCGATCATCTGTTTGGATCAGTGTGCTGCTTTGTTTCCTTTTTGTCAGATGTGGAACAAATGAATGAAATGTGGAGAGTATTAATGAACATGACATGGATTTAAACTCTTTTCATGGATTGTTATGGCAAGCATTCTAGTGTCCCGAGCAAAATCTCGTAAACTTCAGAGGTTTTAGAAATTAATATATTTTGGTACATTTTTTTATTTGTTCCTTTGATTGTTAGCTGTTCTAGTTTCCTGAATAAATTCTCTGAATTAAGATTTTGATTATCTTCGTTTTAATTTTATTTTTCAATTGTTTCCTGGCGCTTTTGGGATATTCACAATTGGATTGCTTTGTTCTTATTCATTTCAGTCAGTGTTGTTATCTGTGATTACCCAATGAATTTTCTGTTGCTATATCTTTCAAAAGTCTGTCATTAGTAGATATAGGTTAAGATAATGAATACTTGGGACCTAAACTTTCATCTCTCTTTTTTGGAATAGCCCCTTGAGCAAGTTGAGGTGGAGTATGTTCCTGAGAAGGCTGAACTAGATGGTGATTTTGACGATGAATTCAGAAAGATCTTTGAGAAATTCAGTTTTAAGGATTCTACTGGTTCTGAGGTAGATGTTTGATTCGCCCTCTCAAAACAGTTTTTTGTAGTGTTTTGTTTTTCATTATTTTTCTGTTTGTTTCTTCATATTCTCTTAGTTTGATTGCGTGGCTAATGTTTGCCCCTTTTTTCTAATTAGGAGAATGAGAAAAAGGAAGAAACGGAACAAGATGCGGCAAAGAAGAAGATAGACTCAGATTCAGACGAAGATGAGCAGGACCCCCAGGAAAAAGAGAAAGGCATTTCTAATAAAAAGAAAAAGGTTATTTTTATTAACTTTGATCTTGTTTACATTTATTGTTCTCATTAGATATCCTATCGTTTGTGGAGCTTCTGGTTTTCTTTTTCCTTGTCTGTGTTAAACTCTTTTGCTAAATTGAACTTTTCTAAAATATCTTTTGCAGCTCCAACGGCGGATGAAGATTGCAGAACTGAAGCAGATATGTCCAAGACCTGACGTTGTTGAGGTATATCTGGTCCCCTCTGGTGCCTTCGTTTTGATTATATTTGGGTAGTCGTATTTGAGAAGTTTTTTAGTTGAATGAATAATGGAGATAGTTCTCTGTTCAAATTAGATTGTGACATGCTTATCCTTATGTTTTTTTATCAAAGCATTCGTGTGACCTAATTTTGTTGCAGCTGTGTTGGCCAATGATGTTTTCTTTGCAAAACATTTTCCCATTACGGTTGCCAAACCTATAATATGCCTTCTAGGTTTCAGTTCTTCAGCCACTCACATGTCATTGAACCATATGGAGTATTGACTACTATATTCCTTGTGCATTGTTAGTACACGTCTGCTGAAAATCTAGTAGATCAGAATGTTTCTTTTATATTGTAGAAATACAGCACGGCTTGTGCAACTTTAATAATTTTATTCAGGCTGTATGATTTCCTAAAAAAGAGTATGCTGCTGCTATTTTTCTTCTTCAAATGTTGATATTTTGGGTTACTTGTTGACTATAAAATGTAAAGATAGTTTGTCTTTCTTGTGGTCCATTGGATTCTGAAATGTAAAGATAGTTTGTCTTTCTTGTGATTCGTAGGCGACATAATGTTGGATATACTTCTGAATTTGTAACCTCCGCCCTTTCCCCCTACATTGTTGTGCTTTTTGAAAACTGTGTTATTTATGATCATGCAGTAACATTTTGAATTTTTTTAAGGTCTGGGACGCTACTGCTGCGGATCCGAAGCTGTTAGTATTTCTGAAATCATATAGGAATACTGTTCCAGTTCCAAGACACTGGTGCCAGAAGCGGAAATTTTTACAGGTTAGGGGCCTAAGTTGGAAATTTTTGTTTGTAGAGTTGCACTGTTGCTGGTAATTTTTAGATGTCCACTTCTATATATGTATGACATTGTGGATATGGAAAATCATGAGCTTAATCACATCTGGGTTTTGGGTCAAGTGTGGTGGGTGACTGAGTCGATGCAGTTTTGTCTTATATGAATATATGTGGTTCTTGCAGGGGACCGGCTGTGAGATCAATGGAGCTTGGACGTGTAGGTGTTTTGGCAAGGGGAACCTTGCATTATTTTGAAATTTTGTTAGTGCGGGTTGGGATAGACCTTTTTTTTTTTTTTTTGAAGATGGTTGGGATAGACCTATTTTGTCTTATCGTGTGGGGGTGTAATGTAATTACCTTGTTTGCTAGTGGTAATGATGTTGCTTCATATTTTCCTGATCATTTTGCCTTTTGCTTGAGGCCTTGGCTGTTTTATTTTCTGTGTTATCTTTCTTAAATATTTAATCTTTTATATAGCTAGCCTGTTTCCTCGTTAATTTTTATCTCATGGGGGGTTTACCTATGTTTTGCAGGGGAAACGTGGTATTGAGAAACAGCCTTTCCAGCTTCCACATTTTATTGCTGCCACTGGAATTGAGAAAATTAGACAGGTGAGATGCAGTAAAGGTCTGCTGTTGCTGGAGATTTTCTCTATTGTCTGTCTTCATTAGCGTGGCACTGCCAAGTATTGTAGAAACAGCAGCAACTGTTTGGATCCCTTGGATATTTTCCAGTTTGTTCCCTCTTTTATTGTAGAAAGAAAAGAAAAACGCAAGATGCTCTTAATTGATTGAAGTTGTTGTGAGGTCATGGATGTTGGGGGTTTTCTAAATATTTCAAACATAGCTTGCTTTATATCGAAGCAAAGAGGTGTAGTTTACTACATTTGCTTCAATTTTCCTTCTTGTATCTACTGAAGTGGGTTTGTCATATCTTGAACTAAGTGGGCACCTTTTTATTTGTTAATCCTACGGTTGAGCAAACTTTAACTTGTAAGTACCAAGTGTAATGTGTATCTTGATTTTGATTCACGCTGCCGGTGCACATATTTTGTCTCCTTTTGGTTTCATTATACAAAGTTTTCTGTGTGATATTAATGCTAATAAAATTTGACATGCCTTTTTTTTGGCAGGCCTATATTGAAAAGGAGGACAGTAGGAAACTTAAACAGAAGCAACGAGAGAGGATGCAACCAAAGATGGGGAAAATGGATATTGACTATCAGGTTGACTTTGGATTTGACATCTCCCTCCTGTCTTCGAATTGGGATTCACCTGCATCATACTTTCCTAGCGTTTCTTTTCTCTTTTTTCTTTTATCCTTTAGTGTTTTGACTTTGCTCACTGCTTTCATGTTTCTAGGTCCTACATGATGCATTTTTCAAATATCAAACTAAACCAAAACTCACTACGCATGGTGATCTCTACTTTGAAGGAAAGGAGTTTGAGGTATATGCTACAATCTTATCAGTACCTTTGAAGATAGTCACTGCTCATTGCAAACTACTATTTTTACCTGTCTGGATTATAGATTTATTGCAGAGGTTCATAGATTTGCTTTCATTCCATAATGTGGCTTCTGATAGAAGTATTTTGAACATGTAATTGTCTGGTTATGTTTTGCAATTATTATAGTCAATAGTCAAAATGATTTCCGTCAGTTTTTTTAGATTTATGGCAGATATTCATATTTGATCCAGTAGCTGTTGAATTATCCATCTTTTTACTATATGATACTTGCTAGAATAATGTCAAATGATGGTGAAATCAGCTATTGTTTTTTCTGCCTTCTAGATGTTAATTTATTTACAAGTTATATTTTTGCATTGCAGGTAAAGTTGAGGGAAATGAAACCAGGAATTTTATCCCAGGAGCTGAAGGAGGCCCTTGGTATGCCTGAAGGTGCTCCCCCTCCTTGGCTTATCAATATGCAGGTCAATAAGCTACATCCTGGTGCATTATTTATGTTAATATTATTATAATTTTAGTCCCTCCCATAGTTAGGGTCAATTAGCTACAGCCTGTTGCAGTTTTTCTGTTTGATATTATAATTGTTAATTGTTATTATAATTCTGCTGAATTTGTTTTGAATACTAAGCAGAGATATGGGCCTCCTCCATCTTACCCTCACTTGAAAATTCCGGGGTTGAATGCACCCATTCCTCCTGGTGCCAAATTTGGTTATCAGCCTGGAGGGTGGGGTAAGCCACCTGTTGATGAAGTAAGTTGGGTTTTCTGCCTCTTGATTTTCTTTATAGCATTCTTCTTTTCATGAAATGTTTATAGCTTAGCTCATGTCTTATAATCTTCCATTTTGCAAATTTTTTACCAGCATGGGCGCCCTCTATATGGAGATGTCTTTGGAGTTCTCCAGCAAGACGAGCCTAATTATGAGGTACTACTAATTCAGATTCTGTTGTCATTGACTCTTCCATTTGACAGGTTTGAGCCCCTTTTAGAGGTGCTTGTGTTCTTTGGATTGGGAGATGGTTAAATTTTCATTGGCAGTCATGATATTTTTGGATGATGATGACTTCACTGTCAATGAAAATAAAATTGCTTTCCACGCATCTTTTTATCTGAATCTTTGTACTGTAGAACTTTTAAACCTCCCAAAGATCTATCGCTATGAAGCTTAGATTGTTTCCCAACAAGGGCTCTTTTAAGATGCTTGTTGCTTCTTGGTGAACGTCCTGGTGCCTGTAGTTATGGCCCTTTTCTTATGTATTTCTTTGAATCCGATGAATGTATTAGGAGGAACCTATTGATAAGAGCAAACACTGGGGTGACTATGAGGAAGAGGAGGAGGAAGAAGAAGAAGAGGAACAGGAGGAAGAGGAAGAACAAATTGATGAAGAACAAATTGAAGATGGTATTCAGTCAGTAGATAGCCTTTCAAGGTATTTCCAACAAATTTTTTTGTTGTGATTCAGTTGTCTTTCTTATTTTATTCACTTGGTATGTTGTGAAACATTGCATATGTGTGGGGAAATTTTGGAAGATGAACCCTGAATTAACTGGAGAGCTTGAGATAAATTTCCCCGTCATATTTGTTTGCTTAGAAAAATGTTGAATTTGATGTTAAGATTATTGATTCTCACAGTCTGTCGTTCATTCTGTATTACAGTACTCCCACTGGTGTCGATACGCCAGATGTTATCGATCTTCGTAAGCAGCAAAGGAAAGAGCCAGATAGACCTCTGTATCAGGTATAGTGAAGTTTTTTTTTTTTTTTTTGTGTGTATATTTATTTTGCACTCCCTGTCCTGATGCTGATGACGCAGTCCACTTTATTTTTTGGGTAAAGGTTCTGGAGGAAAAAGAAGCACATATCGGTCCAGGATCCATCCTTTTACCAGCTCACACGTAAGTACTGTTGGGTGATTTGGTCATATTCCTTACCCTTTTTGGGTTTAAAACATATTCTCTTGAAGATGTTGATGGTCTCAATATGTCAATAACCTTGACCTCTATACTTGTCTTTTTCAGGTATACAGTTCCTGGGGCACAAGATAAGGCTGGCGCAAAAAGGGTGAGTTAATGTAACTTTAATGATCTCTGTTCGACTTTAAATTTGCAATCTTAAATTCTCAAACCTGGTTCTTTGTCATCTTTGTTTTTCCTGGATCTCATTGCAAAATATTTTAACAACAGTTGGTAAGATGATCTCCTTTTACATGCCCTGAAAATTTCCTGGATTATTGCATTTATTTTTTAGCACAAGCAATATTTGAGTTGCTCGAAGGCGGGATCGATATCTGAAATCTGTTACTCTGAATTGTTAAATTTGTTGTGCAGTAGTTTGTACATTCTGGAGTCTTGAGATTTGATGTTGATAAAGTAGCAGTTTAGATTGTGGAAAAATCTTCACTTGTGTTAGGTTTATGTACTATTTTGCCCTTTCGTGATACTTGATCTGTTATTCGGAAGCACATAAGTTATCGATAACTTTTTATAATACGAGTAGGAGTGTTGAAATTGCTCTTTCAACTGTTTGTGTTGTTTCCTTCAGGTGGATCTGCTTAGAAGTCAAAAAACAGATAAAGTTGATGTTACATTGGCACCTGAGGAGTTGGAAGAAATTGACAATGTTTTGCCAGCCAAGTAAGTGGATTCCACTATTGATTGGTACTGACTGATTTTTGTTTGTTATAACCCATTCATCTATGATGTATGTTGTTCCACAGGTATGAAGAGGCTAGGGAGGAAGAGAAATTACGCAATCAGCGGGAAGATTTCAGTGACATGGTTGCGGAGGTGAGTGCATCTACAATGAGTTTATTTATCAAAATGATGTATTTTGACGATAATAATTATTTTCTTAATTCTAATTATGATGGGAACTACTGCAGAATGCAAAGAAAAGGAAAAGGAAAATGCAGGAAAAAGAATCCAAGTCCAAGAAGAAGGATTTCAAATTTTGAAGAGAGCTATTGCTTGTGCTTTGCACTTTGTAGTACCAACTAGGCAGAGGACTATTATCGATGCCTCTTGTTGTTCGCCTTTGCTCCTCTTTGTATACTTGCCTACTTGCTTCTGGCCATATCTGTAATAGGAGGTGTAACTCTTATGTTCATGTTTTGGCGTACTTAAGGAAGCATGTAGTGATGTTATTTCCTTGTACTCTGCTGTTATGATTATATAATAGAAATTGAGGCGAGAACGATTTTAACAGCTGGCTGAAATGTATAAATTTTTTCTTCATTGTTTTTGTGTATCCTCTTGACTTGCCAGGATTTGTAGGATGTGCTCAGTGAATCTATTTATTTGGGAAAAGTCGGTTGTCTCTTCCTAAGAAATTTAGAGAGAAACTTTTACGATCATTTATTTGTTACAACATGAAACTGTATAGAAAATGTGGAGGGGAAGATCTGCCTAAAATTCAAATGCACAATTGGTGATACGTATAACTTGGTGATCAAGTGCAATTTATCTCGATTATTTTCCCCTATTTTTGGTTTTGAATTTTTTGGAGAATATAATGAATCTGATCAGAAGATTCATACACATAATTCTCTCTAGTGGATTGCTCGATTGACCCTATAGCACATGCTAGTCTCTCTTAACGTAGGTAGGACCAATTGAGATGCTCGAGCACGTTCTATCCATTTTTGGTTTTTTTTTTTTTTTTGCCCTTTCTTTCTTCCTTTCTGGGTATACACACACTAGGTTGTGGGCAAATTTTACATACCTCAAATCATTGCTGTATTTAAGACTTATTTCTTCGTTGTATTTGATTTTCTCTTATGTTTTTTTGTACATCAATAGCTTCTCGACAGTGACGATGCTATGTAACTAGGCCCTTGTCCTTTTTATCATGGCGATAAACATTGTGTCACTTCATTTCACGTACCCTTTTCTTTCTTTTTCAAGTTGTCACTGAACCTTGTGGCGGAAGGTTCACATATTATCCCCTTTCAATCGAATATATATGTATATGTATGGATAATTTATTAAATTGTATACGAACACGTATAAAATAGTACATTTATTATTGTGGAGACATTACATACAAAAATACAATAAAATTATTGAAACTCAACATAGAGGGAAGAGGATGAGGATTATTTTTAACTTGAGCAACAGATTCAGTTTGTGGGGATAATCATTCATGTGTTCTCATGAGTTTGGTAGGACTGCGGGGGGTCTCCTTCCTCCTGAAGAATACCATCAATTAATTAAATGGATTTAGTTTTGATCAAATAATAGTCTGAGTACGTAGTACAGAGATTTGAATAAAACTCAGCACACACACACACACACACAGTCACACACCGTTCATTCACCAAATTAGATTCCAACCTGTAAACTAACTATAAACCTGGGTCCAGTGGTCCAGTCAAATTAAGATCAACCCTAATGATGTCACTAACTCTAAAACATTCCATTCCTGATTTAAAAAATAACAATTACAAAATTTAAACAGAAAAAACTTCCATTATTCCTCATCAACAAATTAATACAAGCCCACGTCAACCCTGTTACCACTTGTTTATCCAAAAAAAAAAAAGTAATTTATTAAATAAATTATTATTACTCCCGTTGTCCCACCTTGATATGATATATGTAAATTGTACGTACGAACCGACAATGATACGAAACCAAGAACCCGCGGCTTAATCCACGGCCAACAAATTTGTACACAAACAGCGGATCATTGAATTTCAGAATGATGTCTGCACATGTGAACTTGATTATTATTTATCTTTCAACGTAAGAATTTTGACTTGGATTTGTTAGAAAAATTGAATGAAATGATGCAGAGTTGTATTTTAAGCATTAGATTTAAGTTAATGGTATTGACGCGGGTGGGTTGCATTCGATTCGATTAGCTGTTGATGTTGGACTCTTTGGATTGCTTTGCCCCCAAAATAATGCTTGAATAATCAAACCCAATTTGATTGACGAGTCGTTATCTTATAAATATAAAATATTTCCGACAAATATTCTGTTTCGTTAGGAATAATGTTATTGTACTATATCGAATTTTATTTTATTTTTTTAAATTAAGTCAGTCTTAATAGCAAGCGTATAAAGTGAGCTTACCTAACGGACCGACCAATTCGATTTTCCTGCAGATTCTTCCTCACGCTATATTCTCTTGTGTTTCTGTCACGCTGAGGTTTTTCTACGGCTTTGATTACCATTGATATCATTATATAGTTTTTCTTCTTCTTCTTTTTTTTTTGGGAGAAAATCAAAATTTTCAATATTTTTATTAACTACTATTGTATACACTTGTTAGGATTTGAACTCGGGTCATAATTCATTTGGCCAGTTGGGGCTGATATACCGTATTGCGTGATTCAACACCCGCTTCAACCGCATGAATCATGGTTTTGGGAGACTTTAGTTGCCGCCATCCAAACTTGCCAGCTCCGGCAGTACCCTATGGAGCCTAAGGATCAGTACGAAAACAAATAAAGAATAATGTCTGGTGTTGAACTATTTGGGCACTACAATCAAAAGGATCACCAAATCTTCAATACTATCTTATCACAGTTTGTCCACTTATGACTAGTTGCGACAATATTTCCGCTAGTACTTGAGCCCTCATTTTGATTTTTTTTTTATTTTTTGGCTGCTGAAAATTTTGTACATTTTCCTTTTAACTATACAAATGTTTATAAAACCAACCATCTGTATGACTGTATGTGAGTGCTGATCAGAGATAGAAACCACGATATGTTGAGAACTGACCAATTTTGTTCTAGGACATGAACGATGAGATAATCAGATCTTACAGTTAAGTTCCACTCGACTTGGTTCATTATTTTCTAAAAGTAAAAGTCTCTCAACAATTATTTGTCTATAATAAAGGGACGTATTGGACAGAATAAATATGAAACAATTAACTATTATCATAATTGTTTTCTTTGAAGTTTTGGGTGGAAGGTACATTACATTACATCTAATTAAAAAGAGAACCCAAAACTCTATCCGATCCAATGCACAGATAAAATCAGTGGATATCTGACAAGTTACAACTGTTAAACTCAAGTTCTGAATGGTTTGGCTGACATTCCCTAATCCCTAATCCTAAATAAATACTTAATTAAAAAAATAATAATCTGAGCTGAGGAGATGGGAGATCCCAATATTCCCCCCTAGTAGTAGTTATATAGTAAGGCTGTAACAACAACAAAAGGCATTTCCCCCACGAGGAATCACGTGGTGTGACAACTGTTTTTTTCACCCCCTTCCAACTTGAATTAACCTCTCTAATTAAGATTAATTCCCCCGATTTTAATATACACATTTTTTTTTTTAAAAAAAACAATGAGTGTATTCATCAATCAACCAATCAACACAAAGTATAGGGTATTTTCCATAGCAGACAATCACACCGTCCATTTCTCTATTTGTAGCCTACATTACTATCCCCCTAGCTTTTGTAATTTGTACTATGATCCCCTTTCCATGACAAATGCCAGACATTAATCTTCTATTCTTTTCCCTTCAAAAAAATTGCGCAACTATCGTTTCTCATTCATGTTAGATTGATAGTTTTCTGGATGAGTATTATGTTAAGCGGTAATTTGGGAAAGAATCTTAACCTAATTCAGAAAAATAATACTCAATCTGTTCTTAAATTATTGTCCAATTTGAGTTTTTATTTCTAGTATAAATCATATTAAAAGTGAATAACTAAACTCTATAATAATTTTAGAATGGAAGGAATACGTAGTCATGACTCGTGAGAACCTCCGAATTCCTAAGAACTGATTATCTTTATTACCTGAAATTATTTTGGAATCTTAACATAAGAAATTTACGATATTAATTTTCTGTTTATCCTACAAACATGAAACACGATTAGGGCAATAACATAGTAACCATCCCTTTTTTTTTTTGGGTTTCCACTTCCGAGCTAGTTCCTAATCCCCACCCCCCACCCCCATAAAAAGAAATTATATATTACAGAATATTTGCAAGACTCTCATACATTCCACATGGAAAATTAAACACATATCTTCCTGTCAATTTTATCATACTTAGTTCCTTATATAGAATCGCACTATCAACGGCTTTGATTCATTCATTTTCCACCCGCCCATCACAACTTAGAGACGAAGTAATCACCCTGCCCACCATCAGCAAAATACTGTTCACACACTAATGTGTGAACCAACTATTTTAGTACGATTTCTTCTGTTTTAAAAAAATAATATTTTATTACATTATCTTAATTTCAAAAAATAATTTTTTTTCCCGAAATTTAGGACACGACGATAATTTTGAGACGAAGAAAATATATATTTTCCCAAACTCCCACTTAAGAAATATGCCAGGATTGAACGAAGGAAATTATGGTTGAGTGGGTAGAATTTTTTAAGGTTGACACGAGGACCACTCTAAGCCACCACACATGACACATATATATAATCCAATAATAATAATAATAATCAAAATAAGCTAGGTACAACCATCATAGATTTCGATCTCCCCCTCTTATGGCGATCATTGTTTTGACATTTTTACAGATCATAGATTGATGAAATAGAAAGAGAGAGAAAGAGAATCTCACACCCCAAGCTCACTCCTCCTCCTCCTTCTTCTCATCACCTTCCTAATAAGAAGAGAATACGAATTGCATTGTTGTACTTCCATTCATTCCCCTTTATAAGTTCAAACCCAAAAACCACCCTCACCATTTGTCTCAATCTTTGTCCTCTCTCAATATCTCCCTTTTCCACCACCAAGGATCTAGTATTTTTTTCTCAAAGAGCACCAAAGAGTAGTTGATCAGTTATTGTTTTGGTGGAGAGTTTAAGGTTTTAATTAAATCAAGAGATCAATGGGATTGAGTACTAAACAAGTTTCCTCCAATGATCATCAACACCATGCACTTGATCATTGGGGTCAAACTTTGTTAGAATCATCATCACCTGGAGGAGGTATAGTTGGTGAGAATCCTCATCAGTTCCCCAATAAGCCCAATTCATCCAAGAGGAATTTGAATCATCACCAAAAACAACAACAACAACAACAGAATAATCAACCAGAGCCATTGAAGTGTCCAAGGTGCGGTTCAATGAACACCAAGTTTTGTTACTACAACAACTACAACAAATCTCAGCCTCGCCATTTCTGCAAAGCTTGTAAGAGGCACTGGACTAAAGGCGGCACTCTCCGCAATGTCCCCGTTGGCGGTGGCCGGAAAAACAAGCGTCTCAAGATATCTTCTAACCCTCCTTCCACCACCACCACCACCACCCCTTCATCAGTTGCAGCCGCCGCCAAGAACAATAATAATATTAATAACGTTGATCATAGTTTTCCTCTAACATCTTCTGTTTCAAATGATGCAATCAATAGTTTAAGTGGGAAGAGCTGGATGAGCAGCATCAAGAACACTACTTTTAGCAGCAGCCCAATGTTTTCACTTGGTCATCAAGATCATCAGAGTCTTCAATTTTCATTCTCTAGCTTGAGCCCATTTGATACAATCCCATCTTCATTTCCCTCTTCAAATTTATCCTTGGGAAACAATATTTATGAGTACAACACAGGAGGGGATCAGCTTGATCATGTGGAATCAACTACTTCAACCATTACTACAGTTACTCCTCCAACAACTACTACTACTACTACAGCTTCTGCAGTTTTTAATTCTCATTCATGGCAGCAGCAGCAGCAAGGTGATCCAGCAGCAAATGATGCAGCTGAAATGCCCAGTTATTGGAACTGGAATGTTTCAGATCCTTTTGTTTCAACTGACATCAACGTATCATGGGATGAGTTGTAATAAGGTTCGGCCATGAAGAATGAAGATGAAGAGAAGTTTGAAGAGATTTTTGCATTTGCAAATTGAGAAGGATGTGACCTTTTTTTTTTTTTTTTGAAGCCATCACATCATTTGGGACTTTTTTAGTTTCTTCTCGCTTAATTAATTTGGGAATTAAGTGATGAATCCAATCAATGTACAGGAAGAGTTCCTAACCGGGGTGGTAGTAAGTAAAGCTTTTAGCTTTGGTAGTATTCTTCATAGTGAATTATTTGAGGTGAGGTTTTTTGTGTGTTTGTTTGTTTTTTTTCTTTTCTTTTACCATTTCATCAAAAGAAATGTGTAATTAATTAATATGGTTTGATTGATTGAAGCTGTGTGTTTTTATGATCAGCTTCACTTCATTAATGGAATTAGCAACTGGTTTTCTTTCTGTTTAAGGAAGGTTTGAAAGGATCCATCATTCCAAATTATTTGCTCCTGTTTCATTAAATGTTTTTGTAGGGTTGTTGTTTTAAAGGCTTTTGTGAGCCATGAAATGTTCTAACACACATATCTGGAACAAGAATTGGATTTGACAGGGATGAATGAATGAATGAAGCAACGGCCCGACTGAGGGGGTCTGATTCCAGCTAGGTTCGTAGGGCAGCATTAGCTTAGGATGTGATGGAAGATTCTTTGCAGATAGACAAAATAAAAAATAAATAAAAAAAAAAAAACTGTGTATTTGTTTTTGTTGGAAATGACGTGATGTTCTTTTCCATAATCTCTACATGAGGTTTGATTACTGTTTGGATGGGGCCATATTTGTGTACCATAATTTCATTTATTTATAGGGCCATATTACCAGATATCCATCTTTGGAGTTTGGACAGTTCAAGCGTCTCTCAAGAGTTTATAAATACATTAATTAGGCTCTGGTCTGTTTCAGACTTTATTAAATCAAACAAACAAACAGGAAGCAATAGAGCATCCGCAACTACAATGCCTGATATTGTTAGGACAATCTGGTTATGGTAGCGTCAGTTCATGAAGTTCCCCGTGAAATTTCGAGTTCCTGTCCTTCGACAAGACTATACATTCTATAATTAACAGGTTTTCAATTGGAGTGCACTAATATTTTTAATGACTTTATATGGTCAATCAATGATGTGACATTTTTACTATTCTAACTTACAGTAATAATCTCTTTGTTCTAAAATGATTGTTATACTTATTAATACAACAAATATTACAATCTTTGAGACCCGTAATAGAATTTCAGTACGGGCATCACATTGGCAATGCATGCAAAAAAAAATAATAATAATAATAATAATAGCGAATCAGCAACTACATTAACAGTACACCTTCTACCAGAATCCAACAGTATCATTCCTTCTGTAATTTGATTGCTCAAAGAAAGAAAGCTGATGAGTAAACTCTGTAATGTCCCTGTTATACTCCCCTTCTATAATGTCATCATCTGGGATGGAAGGAGTATTAATGTCAAATATCAAGAGGAAAAAATGGGGAGAAAAAGTTGTGTGTAAGAGTGAACTACTGCAACCAATTCGAAACGCATAGCGTCAAACAATTTACATCGGATATCACACGAATTAGTCGTTAGTCTATGTATAAATCACCATGTCAAATGGGAGAAAAAGCCTGTATATAAGAAGTGAACTACTGCAACCAATTCAAAGCGCATAACATCAAATCACTTTACATTGGATAATCGCACGAATTAGTTGTATACTATGTATAAACCACCATGTCATGGCAAATAGTCTCTTATCTTTATCATAATATCTGAACCTTAGCTATCAAGGGAAATAGTATCTACCGCAGCTGATGTATTCCTTGTTCTGTTTTGTTACCTTCCATCCAAGAGAGCAAAATATCAGTGTCACTTTACTATAGAGCTCCCATCCTAATGCCAGTTTCTCTATTTGGAAGGTACCCATCATCAGCCTTTGAATAATTCACATAGTAAAGCTCAGAGAGAATGCCAGTGAACACAATGAACGCAGCCCCAGCACCAAATACACCTTTCCTCAAGGTTTCACAGGATGGAGGATTCGATGATACGACAGTCCTATACCTAGTATGGTAGGCATTTCTCACGGAACCAGCAAGTAAACAGACCTCGGCAATGAAGAATGTGACCCTGCCGTTTTACGAAATCAAGCAGTTATCAAAGATTGAACCAGAACATGGTTAGGGGAACTTAATATGTTCAATTATGACAAAATTGAACTTAATTATAACCAAGATGGTGTCAATTAGCTCAAGTGATTCTGGATTAAGAATGACGTTCAATCTACCATCTGCTACCTAATTGAAATCAAAGTTATCCTTGAGACAGAATGATTACTTCTCATAGCACCATTGCAAGAAAGTCTGAGGTTAAACTTGAAAAAAGCTTTCTAAGAAAATCAACCAGAATATAATGGTTTTGAATGATTTGAGTATAAGGACCAAATTTTCTTTGGGTCCGAAAATATCAAGCTTGCCTAAGCCTGAATTACATTGCAGCCCTTGCGAGAGCATTGTCGAAGACAATGCATATGATAGTGAAGTATTAAGCTCACATAAAAATTACATGGACTAAAACTTAGTAAAACATACCAGCAGCTGATGAACAGAATAATTGACCAGGTCCTTGCACGACCAGGCCTTAAAGCCCTTCCACAACACATACATCGACTTGCAATCATTATAAGCAGTTGACTAGACAGAAGAAGCAGCAGGGACCCGACACCCAACCCAGTTGAGACATCTGATTTGTAGACACAATAGTTTGTAGTGTCATCTTTTTTATGTCTAGCCTGCCATTAAAAAAACCAAAAACAAAGAGGAATTAGGAACGCTCTTTCTCCAAGAGGTAATGCTTGCATGGAGAAATGACTTGGTACTTCCGAAGGTCCAAACTATTTTCAACAAGAAAGAAAGGGCAAGAGAAAGGAAATAGAACATAATGGAACTGAGAACTTAATAAGGCCGAGACATGACGGTGCTTAATTCTTCAATAAATCGCGTATTTAGGTCTAGGAGCAAAAAATGGTGAAAAAAAGAACACATTGAAAAGTTGGCAACAAACATGCGGCAACAGTAGAGCCTGCATGAAACATAATCCAACCTTAAGCTACATTCTTGGTGAGAGTACCCTGATAGATAAAGTTCATGCTGCTTAAATAAGTACTGCCACACAAAGATGTTAATCATTAAAAAAAAAAAAATGCCCACATTTTATAATGTTAACAGGCAGGGAGCCTAGAAGTTTATGGACAAATTGCCAATAAAAGCTTAAGTTGGTCAAAAAAGAGGTAGAAGCTCTTGCATGAAAAGCTTTACTTGGACACCATAGACAATACTATGTGGACATCCAAGGGAAAGGTCATATACCATTCCTAAATGTTGCAACTTGGAACCTGCTATTTGGATTGAAACATACTAGCCAGTTGATAAGGGTGCAAGATGCAAAGATGATTTTGGTGGGTTAACAGAATTTAAAAAAAAAAAAAAAAAAACTAAGACCAGGAGAACATCCTGCAAGGTCTATTACAGAATCTATAGGAATTTTGACTGTTTCACAAAATAAAACCTGAAACCTTGACTCTAGCATCAGATCTCCAAACACCACAGAAACTAACAAGAAATTACTAACGTAACTTTCATATTTCAGCATACTGAATTTCTTATGCGAGGAAACAGAATCTCGAATAAAGATCTAGCCAGCCAAAAAGCATCATATGGATTCTAAATCACAAAGTAAGGACATAAGCATACTGGCATACTATCAAAACCTGAGGGCTTTCTGTCATCAGGTTGGAACAAAACTAGTGGTCTACCAGACAAAGTTGGCAAGCAACCACAGTTGTCCATTAAATCCAGTTTTTGCCATTTCTGAATCAGATTCAATTTTGGAATAACTAGTTTTCTAAGCAAGCAAACATAATCATCATTGGTCCACTGAAAATGACTCCCAAATCCACAAGTTAGACAATTAAATAAAGAGAGAGGACTCATGAATCCAACACAGATAGCAGCAATTAAAACAATCCCGAGTGATGAGTGACACGTCTGGTTTCTTTAGTGTGATTGCTTCATTAAGATTACTCCTAACATCTATAGAATCCAATACGGCAGGAAACATGATACATGAGAGTTCAAAAGAAATTCAACACAGCTTTAACAAAACATAGTAAAACTGGATCAGATCATGTACCCAACTTATACGCAGGGGCCAAAACACACACACACACACACGCACACACACAATCCGTAACTTGCATAAGTGGCAAATTAAAGTCACAACTTACAGACACAAAGACAGATATCCCGGCAATGAAGCAGGACAAAAAGGGCGAGAAGAATTACTCAGAAAGATACAAAAGAAGGAAGAATTTTCAGACAGGGAAAAATAGAACTCACAGTAGCCCTTCTCTGCTCAGCAGCAACAGCAAGTGCAAACGCAATCAAATCAACGACGAAAACCACCGCCAATAACAGTTTTGAAGCCATCTTCAATCAACCCTAAACAACACAAAATAGCAATGAAACAGGAAAAGAACCCGTTACAACACAACACAGCAATCAAGATAAATCCCACAACCAGATAAACAGAACTAAATTTGAACACAATTCAACGCAACAAGAATAAGAATTGGCAAAAAAAAAAATAAATAAAACATTTGGAATTCGTACCAACTAATATTGAAGAAGAGACTGTTGACTGCTACTTCGTTGACGGTTTCGGGGGATTCTGAGGTTTCGGGTGGAATTGGAATCGCACTTAAGGAAGAAGCAAAGTCATGAAGGAGTCGTAAAAGAGAAGAAAATCCAAATAATTCCATTTTCATTATTTTTTATTTTTTTTTTGGATTCTTTACTACATTCCCTTAATTAAGTAGCGTCCTTCCGTGTTTTATTGCTTTTAAAGGAGTATCTTTTACAATCAATCAAAATATCACGAAATTGGAGGTTTTGCAAAGGAAACAAGTAATAATAAGTTAGTGTGATGTTACATTATCACTAAAATCTGGAATTCTGAAAACTGTAATCATCACAATCAATTGTTTGGTCTTTTCATTATTTATGTAGCGATTTTGACGTTCAAATTAAAATAATACTATATTAGAAAGGTGATAAGCTTGAACAAGGTTCCTCATTTTATAATTTGATTGATGACTAAAGATGTGATATATCACAGTCAAAAGACTTCCTTGGATTATAGGTTTTCTTTTAATAACAAGAAAGAAAAAAAGAATCGTATGAGAAGAAATCAAAATAAAAAGTCACAACAATTATTTTCACGGAAGTGTAGACATAAGATCCGTCACTCAACCGAAACCAAGACCTTGTATGTCAAAACATCATGAATTAATGAATTTCAACCATGATATAAGTTCATAATAATGTAACCCATGTTAAATATTTAACCAGCACCAAAGATAGATCATCTTTTATTATCGAATTTCTCTATTTAGATTTATATCTGATCTGTTTCGAAAATGTGAAAATGATCAAAAAAAGATTGCCTCCTTTGTTAAAAAAAAAAAAAAAGAAAAAATACATTTTGAAATTTCTAGGAAGGTATAACTGGATCCCTTTTTTGTTTTTTTTTTTTCTTTTTTTCCATCCAATTCCTCCTAGTTTGACAAGCGGGGAAATGCTTTCGGTTCAACTATAAAGTAGTTAGTGCTCGTGCTTCCCATGATAGTAATAGCCCTTTTCCCAAGATTTCGAATCATTGGTACATAAGCCAGTGCCTGAAATCCGACGTTACTTGAATACACTACTAGTATAAAGTAAAAAAATTTCTTACTAGATGTCTAAATTATTCTCATGGGACAGATCTAACAAATAAGTCAAAGGTTAAAGTCTTATATATATATATATATATATATATATATATATATATATATATATATACTTGAGCCTCAACATCAGAGTTTTACTTGTTAATTTGTTTTTAGGAGAGTCAATCTTGGATCATGTTGTTCTCGCATTCATATTATCCAATTCAATCTAAAGCAGCAAAATAGAAAGTTAACTACTTTCCACTCATTGAGCTCAGATGAGAAACCGAGGTTACCTACAAAAAAGAACCAAGGCTAAGCTAATCATTTCCTTCTTCACTAATTTGTAGTATTATCAAACAAGACACGAAGTTAATATATAAACAACCAATGATTACACACTACAAACACTACATACATCAAACGAATGATGCATCGCTTCGATGGTATTTCTACATCCATAAATTCTATCACCCCAAAAAACAAATGGGTACACCATCTCCTAATTTAATCTCGTCACACCACCAAGATCACTCGATGCATCCTCAGGGAAGGCCTACAATTACACCGGCAGCCGGATCAAAAGCTTTTCATTTACAAAATCAGCATCTCTTTCGGCAATAAACAAACCAGGATGCATAAAGAATCTCATATGTTAAGCTTCTCTGGCCAGTCCTACGCTCTCTCTATAGGGAATCCATGGATCCACTTTTTAGCCTCTCCATCCGTGCCTGCAGCCCTGATAATGCCTTCTCATCCATTGGAGGGACACCTCCCTGGATAGAATTTTCAGTACTTGCATGGTCGCTGACAGCAGGAAGCTGACTTGGGAGGCCATGGCTTAAATTCCCGTTCACAGATGACAACGGCTTACTGGCAAGATCTTGATTCCCAGAAGCCGCCAGCTGAATGCTCTTCATCCTTTCCCTTATTGCATCTAATGCTCCGCTTGTAACTGCAGTCACCAAAATGACAATGTAAGGTACATATTTTCACCCCTATCTAAGGAAAATGGAACTTAAATAAAAGTTGCAGAACTGAACCTCCAGCTGGAAGTCTGTCATTCCTTTGATCCCCTTCTGCAGCATAGGACGGTGGCAAACTGAAATTTGTTGGTTCCAATTTGACATTCATGGATTTCGTATCACTCATAGGATTCGTATTTACAGGTGACAAAGGGCCAAACTTCGGCGAAGAAAGGTTAAGTGCAACTGGAGGAGGAGTGGACATGGGTACACTTGAAGGTGTTCTTCCCGCTGCAGCAGTTTTCTCCATCTGCAAAGCAAATTTTATTCAACACTTAAGGACTTGATAATAAATGCAGAATCCAGTTGTAAATCTGATTCGTCAAAAAACATTCAATAGATACCTGGGCCAAACCATCTCGAATATATGTTCGGAATGCTTCACTAGCATTTTGCAGCTGTGCAAATATATCAACCTGAAAACCACACCACCAACAACGCATTAACAAATCTCAGTAGCATTTATGTGAACCTATTACATGCACGTCAAGTAGTTTTGCGCACTTCCGCACATTCTGCTCACCTTTGGGTATAATTGCGTGATTTTGTAGAGCTCATAGAGTCCAATTGTACAGGTTTGCTTGTCACCAATTTTCTTAAATATTGCAGCTAGTTCTTGCTGAGGAGAAGACATACAACAGGAAAAAACAATATAAAATTTCTGCGCAATTAACTTGATTGAAAAGTGAAACCATAAAGCACGGATATAGGGATCATTTGAAACCAAGTTAATATGACACAAGCAAAGTCACAGAGACAGAACATTATACCTTTAATTGTGCATCGGCAGAATGGTTTGCAGGGGCAGGATTGTTAGCTGTGGAGTCTCCCCAATGTGTTTGTCCGACTGGGCCAGATGGGGATAACATTCTGGCAGCTGCCAAGGTCTGGAAACATATGTATTATACTTATTAGAAAATTAAAATGATTACATACAAATATTTCAGCAGCAGTAAAAATAGAATGTCAGACTAATATCAGTATCAGTAACTCTTGATGCACCTGAAGATTAAGATCTATATAGGCAAGTATGATTGGTTGAGGCTCCATATCTATAGGGACCATGGAAAGATGACCCTTTATTGCAGTTCCACGAAGCTTGACAAGTTCATGCAGGACAGTTTTAACCATGCGCAAAGGTTTGTCGTCAGCTCCGGCCCTAAGGTTCACAGAATATAAAAATATGGCAAGAGATTAACTCATCTATGTTAAGGAGTAACAGCCCACCAAAATCAGTATGATATTATCAAAAAGAAATTGACAAATCAAAATGATATTATCACAAATTAAATTCACAAATCAAAATCATATTATCAAAAAGAAAATGATAACTTCCTTCAAAAAATCAAAGAAAATACCTCTTGCGTATTTCTTCCATTCCTAATTCTTGAAGGTAGACGTGGATGCTCTGAAGGATGCGATCAAGGTCAACCTCAAAAATGGTACTCTGTAGAACCTGTATAAAGCAGAAGTTTCACTTCAGTAAACCTACTTATATAGTTCAATCTTAAATAAATTTATGATAAAAAACCTATTTTCTTCGCCATGCAGCAAAAATTACAGGTTTTCAGATGAAACAGATGGGCAAGCTCTAGGGGCTTTTGAGAGTGATTTTAGTTTTTGGGGTGCTTAGGGTGGATTCTGGGTATGAGAGGTGCAAAACATTTGCTCACTTGTATTCTGCTGAAAACTTTCTTGTAATAAAGCTGCATAATCTTAGGATTGTCCGAAGTAATTCGTATACAAGCACAGAAAACAAAATTCAAAAAATCATTGAAAAATGACAGAGGCAAGGATCACCTTTGTGAGTTTGATCAGACATTTAACAACCAAATCTGAGAATTTCTGATTTCTTATGATAAGAGATTCATTTACTGCTGGAGACGGCCACCTTGAAGGGTCAAGAGGACGCAGGAGATTGATAAGCACCACAAAGGATGATGTCCGGTCAGCATTATCCTGAGAGATCAGTCACTAGTTAGATGTTGGTGAAGCAAGAAAATCTTCTCAAAAACATAAACCATAATGCAGACATGAAATCACTTTTAAAAATATAAATTATTATAACATACCAAAATTTTAAGCATCAATACGTTCAAAGCTTTCAAGAGTTGACTGCCATCATCCATCCGTGGAACTCGGTCATCCAAAAGCCAGAGCAAAAGCTCTGTGATCAGGCTATCAAGAGTACTCTCTTTGACAGCATGTGCAAGTCGTTTGTTTTGAAATGTCTGCTCAACAATGAAGTTCAAATTTCAAAATGATTAGCATGTGCAAGTCGTTTGTTTAGATATACAATGGGGACATTATTCACTAACTAGTACCAATATTACCAATGATCAATCAACAAAAAAATATATATAAATATATATATATATATATATATATATCAAAATTTCCACCAACCTGCATCAGAGTGTTGAGGACATATTTACAAGATCTGGAAGAGGCTCCTGTCAGACTAAAGTCAAATGTCTTTGCCACCTGTTGTGATGAACTCTATAAGCATTCTGAAGGATTTTATACGACTTGAACCCAAAATATTACATATAAAATAAATGTATTTCCTTATTCGCTAAGCAAGAAACAAGTCTATCTGCATCCTTAACAACATCGTCCATGGCGTTGCCTTCAGGTTCAGCAGTTGCCTGGGCTAACTCATGGCAGACAACTTTCATTCCTTCAACGGACTGCAAAATGAGAGAACTCTCAAAAACAAAAAGATAATGTAAAAGAGAATATAATGCAATGTCACAGACAGGATACATTTCGTAACATAACATTAGACCAAAATAATGAAAAAAGGTAATGACATAACGAAGGAAATATATCAAAACTTAAAAATCAAGAAAATAGCAACTAAGCTGCTCAAATTTATATCCTGAGGACAAAGACAGCAAATCGGTTTCCTTTAGTCAGACGATTGAGATAATCAAGGCTTACAGTTCAACACCAAGTCAGATGCTTGCATGTAACAGTTATACAAATCAAATGAGAAAAAGAGTTTATAGAGCAAAATACTGCCTTTAAACAATATTAACCCTGGCATAACCAATCGTCCGCTTTCGACTCCTAAAGTTTAACTGCCTTAAATAGCAGAGATAGAATTTCATTACCATAACCAATTTTGTTTTAGGGAACATTTGGAAGAGTAATGACATCAGCCATTTATATTTTTCAAAAGCAACCATCAAAGTTTTATTTCGAAACTAAATACAACGTTAACTAGTAAAACATTATTTGAAAAGTGATGATTATTCTGCAAAGACAAAAGTCAAAATCTCAGTTGTGTGAAATTTTAAAACATAGGTCACAGAAACGTTGTGTTGCAAAAGAACTAACGGCGGGTACATCTCATCCGTCGATCACAGTTTTAAAGCAGGAAGGTCAGAAGCAACGAATTGGTAAGACCCACACCTGCTCAGGCGAAGCATAAGCTATAATATCAAGAGCTTCATTCCAGTCGGTAGGACCAATTCTTCCAGCAATAGTGGGCGGAATTGGAATTCTATCCACCTGAAGTTCAGAGTGACTGTAACTGTCCCTGTAAGAACATAAGGTATCCTCTCATTCCTGGGGATAAATAGTTGCGCAAAATAAAAACGGGAAATGAAGAGAGGAAGCAACAAATACAGGTTACAGTACAAGTAAATCATTCCCGGAGATATCAACGAAGTACCTATGGACCAATGGACCAATGGCGGACCTGGTAACTTCACCACTTTGTTCAGCTGGATCCAACCTGGATTTTTGCACCAAACAAGTGGAAACAGATCAAAACTACACCTTGCATCAAACAGTTCCCCGATACTGTCGGAAAAGGTAACGTAAGAGCTTGGACCACGATAAGGGAGAAAAAGCAAAACTTCTTTGCTTTGTAATGCTAACAAATAAGAGATTTCTATGCTCAGGCAAACATGCAAGTTGACCAAAAAAGTTCATCAAAATAATCCAGAAACTATTCATGAATGTCTCCAGTATAAAGAAAGAAAAACCTAAAAGAATAGAACAAACTCTGCATACCCATTATCCCTCACTGAACGCCGCAGTGCTGTCCTGCCTTCCCCCGGCTTTCCCTCCCTTCTCTTCTCCATTTCTCGTGCCTAATAGGTTTTGGATTATTCATTGTTAAGACAGGCTCAACACAGGAAAAAGACACACAAAGCAAAAGAAACCCCAAAAAAGAAAAAGAGATCACCTTCCACTTAAATCTGTCGTCCAACATGCTTCTTTGAGCCTCTGTCAGCTTGCCAACATACCTCCATATGTCATCACCTAAAGAAGTAACCAGCCAATCGGAAATTAAATAGAAATAAATATAAGAGCTCCATTGTAACAAGATGATGCCTGACATTTCCATTTCCTTTTAGGCTAAAAAAATCTTCGAAATGCTAAATAGTTGAAGGTAAAGGACAATCACCAGATTTTGGGACCCTAGATATACACATTCCAACAAGAAACAGAAGGTACATAAAACTCACCAAGAATCTTATAACCAGTGGCCAAAGCATTCAACGCGGCTTTCCGAGTTTCACCATCACGCTCTGCTGTTAAGCTTGCCACTAATTGCAAGGATTTCAACTGTCCCATAATCTATAAAATTGGAAAATGATATTCAGCATGCATCTTTCATAAGTGAGCAGAAGGATGAGGAAGTAATAAAATCAAACAAAGTATACCTCAGATCCATGGTTGTCCAATAAGAAACCAACCATTTCTGCACACTCTATCCTCGTCCGATTGTTTCTAGAGCGTAAACCCTCTAATACGTAAGGAAAAGTTTTTGCTGCTGAGTACGTATGCACTATCTGTTTGACTAGCTCCCTCATTTTTTCTCGAACTCTTTCAATGTTATGCCCACACTGCACCAACCAACAACCCCTGTTAGCGATTATCAATATGACATCAACTACAAAGCACTTCCTCTTTCCATGCTCATGTGAGGGAAATATACAAAGGCAGGAAGCATACCCCTGCTCCCAACCCCTCCTCCCATTATAATGTTCTTAATTAAATAACAGCAGCCCCATTGGCCAAACCTTTTCTATTAAGCAAGGCAGAAAAATTGATGCTTCCGCTTCAGTCATGATGTAGTCCTCATTCTTCAACAGATCAAAAAGTTCGGGAAGAAATTCCAGCACCTGAAGCACATTGTCCACATAAATGAAAGTTTACTCAGTCGATTGAAAATTTACAAAAAAAAAAAAAAAAGAGAAAGAAACTTGAGTCACTCAGAACTCAGATATAACGAAAAGAAAAAAAAGACTGACCTTGAGCAGGCAAGAAGTGTTTGATTCACAAAATCTCAGAACAAACCACTTTAAGAGAACATCTAAAACTTCTATTAATTCTTTCCCAATTGATGGGAGCGCCTGCAAATTAAAAAACATTAAAAAGCCAATTTGAACACTATCAGACAAATATTTACAAATTTACGAGTAAAACACCTTTTGTAGCATATCAACCCCGTCAACTTGCTTCTTGAAGTCTGTGCTAAGAAGCCTTCTGTGCAAGTCTTCTCGGAAAAATTTCATAAGATCATTCTGTTAAAGGCAAAAAATGAGCAAATGCTCAAATCTCCATAAAAAAATAAAAAATAGAAAATACAACAACAACAACAGCAACAACAACATACCCAGTAAAAAAATAAAAAAATAGAAAATAAAAAAGCTTTTTTTCACGTTGTAATTTCATCACAGTTACCCTACTGGTTCCTTTTCAGTGCCTTTTTTTTTCCCATTGTAACATTTCACAGTAAATGCACCATTTCATAAATTCTGACTAGTGGTAAAACATTTAAATCTAGAAATCTCCCTCCGAACTTCGAACTTAATTTACTCTTCCACCTCTTAGATTAATTCTATATCACTACAAACACCAAATGTAAGGGAATGGGCTTCTGCAAATGCACTTATTATTGAGACAACAGGGGAGGACTAGACGCATGGTGCATGGATAAAAAACCATAAAAACACCTATTCAGGAAAGATCAGAAAGAACCTCAAGGTCTTGTATTTGTTCCAACCGTAATTCCTCAAACTTGAATCGGCGAACAATTATTCTTTCTCGTTCGTCCTGCAAAAATATCTAAACTGTAAGGAACTCCATTCACTAGTTTCCGCAAAAAATGGAGATGTGTAAGTAAGATACAAATAGTCGGGGGAGGCACCCAAAAAGAAATGCAAAGAGATAAAAGGTAGGGCTGATTAGTCAGCTTAAACATGATTTGCTAATTATGAGATAGCTTAACTTAGGTTCTTCATAGCCAAATAAAAGAAGAGATTAATTAAAGATATAATTAATGAAAATATAAGAATTGAAGAACATATCAAACTATCTTTTTCAATTGCAAATATAAGCTCTAAGTTACCTTGTTAGAGTCTTTAACACTCAGCAAGGGCTGTGACTGGAGGCTCATGTCTTGAATGGATGCAATAGATTCTTGTCTTGAGCCTTTTGCAGGGATACCTCTCTAAGAAAACAAAGAAACCATCAGAAGCCGAAATGAAATTGAAATAACCTACAATTCAATGGTGGAAACACCTACCGAAGATGTAGCCCTGCTTCCAGGTCTAGTGGGACGGTCACTATGACCATTTGCCTTTGCCATCTTTGACATTCCTTTTGACGACATTCCTGAGGTTGTTCTCCCAGATTCAAGTTCTAGCAAACAGAAATATTGGAGTCAAAATTGCAAAAAGGAGTAGGTCCTCAGAAATTTTAAACACGTGCGGTGAGCCAGACACGGACATCCTTCCCAAGGGAAGTTATAATATTAGACTTCAGCAAAAGTTGCTAAAGCCCATTCAAAGACACAAGGTTGTGTAAACAGATGCATCTTATTAGGTACAATGTACAAATAATTTCAATATATCAACATAAAATGGCAACAATATTTTTAAAAAATCATCTTTCAAGCAGAGCATAAAACTTGGCCCAACCCCTCTGATGTTTGGTTCTAGAATAAATATAACAGGCCAAGCTCGTGGCCTCGTGCCATCCCAGAGAGTTATCAGTATTTCTTTTGAGTTGCAACGACTCCCAAATCCCTCAAAAAGGGTCATTTCAAAAATAAAAAGAGAAATAAAAAGTAATCAACCATACTTTGCAGTCTGAATTTCAACACATAAATGCTGTTAAGAACCATGCAATCCAAAGCACTCATCACCTTTAACCTATAAATAGGCTAGATGAAAAACGGAAGAAAACCAAAAAACTAACATAGCTTCAAACATCCTAAAGAATTGAGATTAAGGATAAGGTAAATGTAACGAAATAGAATGGAAACAGGCAATTCCACACATAACTCACCATGATGACCTCCATATGGTTTCAGCCGCTCAACCACAATAGCTAAAGCAGGTCCCTGGAGATCTCTCAAGTTCTTGCTAACCTGAACAATACATGAATATCTCAAGTAGGTATACAAAACTGAAAAGGCCAATAGAAAAGAAGCAAATCATCCAACACACCGTTTCATGCCCACATATCCTCAAAATTTCACCAAAGCATACTTCGGCTGATTTCCGAACTTCAGCTGATTTATCCTATATGCACGCACCAAAAATTTAATGGCATTTTCACTATGATGCAATCATGAAAATAACAAAACAACATTCAAAACTTACCGTCATAGAAGTGGCAGCTGGCTTCAAAAGACTAATAGCATCTGGGAAATCAACTAGAACGCTCAGTTGTCTAGATAACCAATCAAAAAGATCCTTTCGACCTTCAGCACCAAGTTTAGCATCTGTTAATGCAGCTGTTATGTAGACAATCTGAAAATATACAATGTCAGGTTTCTGAAAAATCTTCGAGGGGTCAAAAGAAACAAATTCAAAACTAAAAGAAGGAACTAACTAACCATTTTATCAAGATGCACCGCAGCAAGCCAGGATTCTAAGGTACTCAAAGTGCATTCTCTCATATGCTTTTTGTTGTCACCCAGGCATTTCAACACATCCGCCAGAATGCCCTAAAAGAAAAACCATGTTGTCATGTACTTGCAATTAGGAGGGATATGGCAAGATTTGTTGAACCAAGATAGTTGGCAGCTAACCTTGCTTGATTTATCAACAGCTGGTCCCATGGAAGAAGCAATACCACCAATAGTAGACAATGTTGCCATTACTAAATTCTTGTTGCTATCACTTAAGCGGCCTCTAAGAGCTCCAAATAGTTCCCCTGGGCAAGCAAACAGGGAAAGGTAGTTAGGAAACAATACATGCAAAATTTAATCACCGACCACGCTATGACATACTAAGATCATACCAGTTCCAGTTGGTTGAATGCGCTTATTGGCCTCTTCAAGGATTTTGTTCACGGCCTCAATGGACTCCAACCTAATCTGCACTTCCACAAAACCTAGTAAACTTAGTTATTGATACAAAGCATGCAATGACAAACAACAGGCAGAACAAATTCTGTACCTTCCAATCAGTACTTTCCAAACCCTTCAACAGAGCAGGTGTAATTTTCTGACTAATATCTTCACGCGGTAGGCTATCCAGACCACCAGCTGAGGAAGATGATGTGGACTCTGATGCCTTAACAGTTCGTTTAGGTGCAATAGGTGCTCCCTAGAAGAAATTCAAACTTAAGAAAACATATAGAAGAACAAATGCAAAAGAGAATCTTCACATAAAAACTGACTATACCTCATATGGGTTCTTTTCATACTCTGCGTCAAGCGCACTAAGAAGAGCAGGCTTTACATCTGTGAGAAAGGCTTTAATATCTGCAGAAAGAGTATGATGGTCATTTCAAAAATGAAAAGGCATCCAAGTTATGCGGAAAACAGATAGGCTACCTGGACCGACAAACTTGTGCAAAGTGCCTATGAGTTTAATAGTCGCATTTCTGGTGGCAGCAGCACTGGACTGTAAACCGATATCTTTACAGAAATCGATTAAATCCTGCAAATAAGATAACTTTTAGAAAGACCTCCCCTCCCTACCAGTGTCTAAGGTAAGCCTCGAAAAATCATAAGAGAAAAAAATCCCCAAGATATGGGTAAAATAACCTTCAGTTTCAAATGTGAAATGCCAAAGTCATCAATTGCTGAAACCATCCACAAAAGCCCCTCGCTAAGAACTTTAGGATTTTTATGCTCTTTCATAACCTTGTACAGCTACGACCAAAAAGTAAAACAACATGAGCAACCATTATAACCATTTTGTTAAATGATAAAGTGCCACTAAAAAAAAAGTCGGAATCCTGTAAATTCAAAATACTATCTGCAAAACTTAAAAGATGAGAAATGATTAAGATGAGAAGACGAGAAAGACCAATTAATAAGCAAACAGGAAATGGTGTACAAACAACCCAGACCTCAATTAGTCAAGCACAACCACTTACTCTTTCAAAAACAAATCCTGGACCAACGGCTTCACAAAAAGAAGTAAGGCACTTCATCGCATGAGCTCGAGTCTTAATATCAGCAACTCTTTCACCAACACCTATTCACAGGGAATACAATCCCCACAAAAAACAAACAGAAGAATGCAATTAGAAAGACAATCAACCTGTGTCATCCAAATTTAAATACACTGCAAGATATATGACCGAAAAAAAAAAAAGCAGAAAGCTCACCAAGGAGACATAGTACAACACACTTTTTTGGAAATTTAGACGCCGTAGAAGCTATGTGAGTAATAACCTCAATGACCTGTTGCTGAACCTGCACATGGATCGAAAAGTTTAATGTAAGAAATTATTTATACATTATCGTAGTAATAATTTCTCTACACGTGATAAATGTGTACCTGAACATTTTTCTCACCCCAGCCAGGAATGGCACACAGTAAACGGATCAAAATCTCAACAGATTGATCAAGTTCTTGTAATGCTACAACCTGTTCCTTAAAAGCGGTAATGGCTGCAATGGACAAGCAGAAAAGTAAAGTAGTTATCACCGATATGTAGAAGTATTTCACTTATGAACTATTTAAAACACACGCACATGCACAACTGGAATTCACAAAGATGCTAGGTTAAAACAGTACATTCATCAGTACTAGCAATTTCTAATAGCTTATAAACTCACATTCCCAATCAAATTCCACGCTTACATAAACTGCAACAATAAAAAGGTCTTATATCTCACTGGTCATTGCCAAAACTGGGGTCACTGGTCGACCATAATATTATCACAGTGACCTACTCTTAATCCATTATTCCCAAGAACCTCCATTTCATATAACCAGGCACAGGGAGGGAAAAAAAAAGGAAAAAAAAAAAAAAGAAAGAAAAGAGCAGTCAAGCTTTATGCAAATCACTGGTCAACCAGAATTTTACCACAAAATCCATTTTCATATAACCAGGCACAGAAAAGAAAGCAGTGATGCTTCATGGAAAGTTAGTCAACAGATTAGAAGATGCATCATGAATCAGGGTTAAACCCAAATGACAGGACATTGCTAATGATGCTTCATAGCCATTAGCTGTCTTAGATTTTTAAAACGAAAAAACAAGAATCAAGAATGCCTAGAAATGCACCCAGAACTTCTTCAAGAGCCAGTAACATCTAGTAATGCTTTTATCACTTCATTGATTGGGAAAAAAAATCGTAGTCTTAGTATTACCTTCAAGTCTCTCTTTCCATACTGTGCTCTTCAATAGGGATATTGTATCTGCTTGAATAAGGGAACCCAATTTGACTTCTATCTCTTCAAGACTCATTTCAGAAGGCTGAAAAAAATATGGAGCCATGTCAGCAGGCTGAGCAAAACAGAACTCAGCTTTTTTAAATATATATGTATGCTCAACATAAAGCATCACAATTGTACATCCCAAACATCGCCACAGAAAAGCAAGTGAAAGTGTAAAGCTATGATAAACCTCAACATCTTCAACTTCCACAGCCTTAGCAGTTTTTGTCTGGGCTGCTCCATCTCCTTTTTTGTTCGTAACTGATTTTGGCGGTGCCGCTTTCTTGTTACCAGCCTGAAAGTGAAACAAATTCAAGGAAGAGAGAGAAAATATGAACAATTACGATATCTTGCAGCATCACAAACCCAGCAAATCTTCAAAGGAGGGACTATGAAAAAGGTAGGGTGCTTACCGGTGCCTGAGAAGGTTTTGGGCCACTGAGCACACTAGCTGCTGACCTCCTCGAAGTAGTTCCACCTGAAGCCTGCAGATAAGTTCACAAACTCATACTGTCATGAAGAGCTATCAGCAAATTAGTGGAGATAAGTTACTTAAAAGTCTACAAATTATGAATAGGAGGACTTGGACATATCTGCACGGTAACTAACTGCAGACCTGATGGGCACACAAAATTGATACAGGATGCTTAAAAGATGTCTAAAAAGATGCAAGCAAATCAAAAGGGAAGGAAAGGATCAATATACAGATTCCATTCACTTCTTAAGAGCACCTCCGCTCAGAATATTGTAAGTTCTTATGCATTTTGAACTCCAGCACTTAAAAAATTGACATAAGGAAAAGTAAATCCTATTAAACATCATCTATTAATAAAAATCATGCATTATTAAATGAATCTCCTTTCAATCATACACTCCAATATTCTACTCATACAGTTCCTTGGGTTGTACCCTTAACGAAGAGACTAAGTACTGACCTCTCGAACCGACGAACTTCCTGCCGAAGATGGAACAGTAGCTGCAAGTAAACAGTAAAAAGAAAACCGAAAAATAACAGTTGAGAGGCATAAATGAAAAACATCTGGAAAAGTAAATGTTCAAGAGGTATAAATACAAAACATCTAGCGCATAGTTAAATTTTGAAACTCATTTCACAACCTGAACTGGTAACTGCTGCTTCACTGCTACCAATCATTTCAGACAGCTTCTTTTTTCTAACATCATCCAACTTCTCAAGCGACTTTTCCAGGGGCCTCATGCCAACCGACTAGAGAGAAAAAAAAAACAGCTATAGATAAAATAAGTGTGAAATATACAGAGAAGCAAAAGCCTTTCATCAGATACAAAAACTTGAATATCTGGAAAGGAAAGAAGTACCTTAGCTATAGCTGCTAAAGCAGAAAATGCAGCATCCCTAACTTCAGGTGTTCCATCATTCAGTGACTGAAAGAATCGATAATTTAAACAAGGTAATCAATAATGATTGAAAGCATCACGGGAACAGATTAGGGTTGAAAACAAGCATTTTCAAAATTCCTCCGACAATAAAGTCCTGTTTAGCCAGTGCTTACCAAAACATGCACATGCAAAAAAAAACTGATGCTGCAAGAAAATATCAAATAAACTAGACATGCTTAAATTCCATGCAGTGGCCAGTGGGTGAAAGATCAATCATTAAACATCCTTACCTCCATGCATATCGGCACATACTCCTTGTGCACTTTCAGGATAACAGCCTTATTACTTGTCTCAATGCAAAATGTAACCCAGTTCAATGTCAATGAACGTACAAGGGGAACTTTATTCTTCACAGCAACCTTAACATCTGCAATAAGAGTTTTTTTTTTCTTTTTTGTTCAGCAAATGCAGAAATGCAAATATGCGCTTAATAAGAACATGATGGAAACTTATCATTCAGACAGCGGGAAAGAAAAAACAACCAACAATAAGGAATGAGGGATGCCAACTTTGATAAAGCCCAGACGATATGCTAAGGTCTATGTGAATCAATGCAAAATGTAAACCAAAAAAGAAACCAAAGGGGGGAAAAAAAGAAAAGAGGGAAAAGAAAGAAGAATCGATGTAATGCGCTGAAGTGTTTCTCCACTGTTTGAAAATTTCAGTCAAGGCACTGAAAGAAGATAAACAGGGTTGAGTGCATGCTGGGAATTGATATTCCCAATTGCTATACACAACTGCACCAAACTTCATCATCAATTCAAAAACCTCAAACACCATTATTTTAATGAAAATTAAAGATACAACTACTAAAAACAACAAAAAAAAACAAGTCATTTCATGAGGTTTATGTAGGAAAAGACAAAGAATCATTCATTTCAAATCAATTTGGCTCGAAATTCAGATACCAGTGCGAGTCATTCATTTCAAAATAAGAATCATCATGAGAAAAGATTGAAATAGTATTATCTTCTTAATAAACAACATGCTGTTGATGTCAAGGCATGACAAAAATTCCAATGATCAAATAATCAATCATACTTTTAAAGAAACATATAAAAAAAAGATCCTACCTTCAACAACATCTGCAAGATTCAAACAACCCGATTTGTGCATTGTCTGGAGAGTTTGCATAAGGGCATCTGCCAAAGTAGGTTTTTTCTCTTTCAGTTTTTCCTGGAAAAAGAAAAACAGAAAACCATTCCAAATTATAAGCTAAGTAATAAAAGCCAAGGAACCGAAGTTGCAGGACATGACCAATAAAGGAGTATAATTACAAAGATAAAAACATTTCATGACATCATTAAGCATGGTTAAAAGAAGGTTTCAATCTCACAGCTAATTCAGAAAACATAATACTCAAGAAGAGAAACATACCTGAGTTCAAGATTTACACTATAACATAAATGCCAGATAGAAAGCCAAAATGTTCAAAAATACACAATATATCTACACTTCAATGTCTAAAATTCAGCCAACACTAAGGTTGCTCTCAGAAATTTGTACCGGTGCCTTCAGTTACTTTCAAAAAGTTCTACAAAATTTACACTAGGCTGCAATCATAAAATTAGCAAGAATAAGCAGTTTGAATTGTAATATCTAATTTACTCCAAATTCAACTCTTCATTCACATCAAAAGAGAAAGCATGGAACTCAATCCCTTATCAGATCACGAGCAGCAAATGAATCTGAAATCCTACCAGGACAAAGTGTCCAACCAGATATTATTCCCAAGTCACAAAAAACATTTATATCTTAAAGGAGCACATCATCTATTCCAAATTGCATAATCCTCTGTTTAACCAATTAAACAATTTCGAGGAGGTTCGGATGTAAGAATTACCAGCAAAACAGGTAAAAGAAAACGTGAGTTCCCAGAGAAATGTGTTCTCAGTCCACTTGCAAGATTTCCAATTGCTTGGATCGCTTCAACAGCAACAGCTATGTTCACATCTGTAATAAGCTGCAAGTTCCAACAGAATTCATGTCAAACCTCATAAGTAGCTGAATATCTAAACAGTAAATGAGTGAAAAGTTTTTAACAGTTCAGTCACAAAGAATTACAGCAAAAATGGAGCAATAATCATCTTTCTAGTTACAACCATGCTGCCTATCAAAAGAAACTTCATTTCACATGTAGACTTCAGCCCAAAAGAAACTTCATATCACATGTAGACTTCAGCCCAAAAAAGAAAACCGACCAGATCATTCAAAGATAATACATCGTCCTTTCCAGTTTGATACAAATGGTTCCAAAATACTCAAATTATTCCATGTACGACCCTTTATCAAAATTGTTCCTTTTTTTATTAACTTGATACCTTCTAACTACAATCTTTTACATAAGCAATGTCCATTAACTGGGTTCAGGTGACTGGGAGGATGACGAAGTTGGGGGGGTTACCCTATCGTTGGCAAATAGTAAATCATCAACACCATCAGAAATATACCAGGCTATCTAACAATATAGAACTCCCTATCTAACCCTATTTAACATTTGATGTTGCATAAAGAAAGTAATCATAATAGAAATGCAAACGACATAAAAGTGCTATGGATTAAAAGATCACTGTAACCACTATCGCAGAGTTCTTGATTAGTACCAATAAACAGTGCAAACAAAATTCACAAGACAGAATGCAGCGAAATAGATTATTAAAGAGATGACAAAAAATACACAGAATTGACAACTTAAGTGAAAAGAATAACACATGTGGATCAAGAAGGATGATTACAAACCTTTTTAAGAGTGCGACATATCTCAGTGAAATCGCCAGGAGCTATCCTTTTGGTTGATGCAAGCTTTGTTAACTCCGCAACAGCATCTTTTCGCTCTGACCACTTGGTAGCTTTCTAAAATATCCGGAAAATAAATGGAATAAAAAAAATCATTTTCCACTCAATGCAACAAAAATAGAGCCAAAAATGCATGTGTAAGAGCTGTGACAGAGAAAAGAAAACCAACCACTCCTTCCCAAAAACCAGACTTCTCCAGAGGCGTGAGTATATCAACTGGATCAACAAGCTCATATTCATCTATCTCCTGAGGAACTGAGGAGAAGAAAAATCAGGACCATGGGTCAAAAAGATATAAAGGTCATTCTCATTCAACCTTAGTATGGGAATAACTGGAAGTTGCAGAAAATAATCACACAAACCAATTCAATCTCTTGAAGTTAATGAATACAATAAAGTTACTGAACCTCCTTTAGCAGAGCACGATGTATACCTTCAGTAGCAACATCTTCAGAAGTTCCAGAAACTACGACCTCAGAAACAGACTCGGGTTCTGGCTCTTTATCTTGTTCGGATCTAAACACATTCATTAAAGTTAAGAGCACATAAGAAAAGGCCTTCTAAGCTAGTTCATTATATTATGACCTGGTCTCCAAACCTAAGGCATGACAAGCAATGTCAAGCATGCACAAGATGCTCATGATTGCTCAATGTCACATTTCAATTTGGTCAAAAAGGAAGAGTACCTTATTTTGCGGGTTGGTTTGCCGGCCCCACTTACATTGGCAAGTTCAGCTTCCAACTCTTTTTTCTTCAATTTTAAAAGAAAATAAAATATTACGCACATAAATTCAACAAATTTGAAAGAAAAGAAGTTTAATGGTGAGCTACATACCATTGTATCTCGCATCTTCTCAAATAAAATGGACTTCACTGCATCTTTCCCGATCCAGCGACACAGCTCCAGTGTTAAGCCTTTGGAAGAAGCCCGAACATTCTGATCTTGATGATCAAAGAGTTCAGGAAGCATCTTCAATATTCTTTTGGGAGGCACAATCTTTGATCCAAACTCACTGATTAAATTTTTTCAACAAAGTTATCAGCAGAAATCAACGGTAAAAAAACCTGTGATTGGCGACATTCAAAGGAAATTATTCATAGCGGTCATATCTATACCTTAGAGCCTGAAACATGACATCTATAGCAGGGACCACTGCTTTAGCAACTTTATGTTTTATGGCTTTCTCCATAGCATCCTACAAAAACAAAGCCTTCATAAAGCTTTATGTAGAGAGTGAATTTCTAATAAGCATAAATCCTAAGAGGCATCATGCGAAAAGAGACTTCTATTTGATGGACATCTGTCAGGATACTGTACCACAATCATTAATTAGATAATGAAAAATGCAGTAATTTTCATACTGGGAAATCAGATAAATGAAACTTCATTACATCAGACTGGGGATCATATGACATTCTAAGAAAACAACTTCTTACTTTCTCAAACAAATCGCTAGAACAACTACGAACGAACCTCGCAAATTCTCCTTTGACAGAACATCCATGAATATAAAAAGTATCAATTCACATCCAATCCATTAAAGGATTTGATGGTATCTACAGATACACCCAGGTGACCTTAATTGATTAATCCCCACTAGAGAGGTTCCAGAAATAATCACCATTAGTTGATTCATCATAACCAAATCACAAAACGCGCCCAACATTCCTTCTCAACACAGCCTTTCATAAGAATAAGAAATGTGCAGTTAAGGATGGGTAAACCCAGGTGACCTTAATGGATTAATCCCCACAAGAGGGATTCCAGAAACAATCGCCATTAGTTGATTCATCGTGACCAAATCACAGAACTCGTTCCTTCTCAACATAGCCTTTCATAAGAATTATAAATATGCAGTTAAGAATGGGTTTCGTGGCTTAGCCTTCTAAAACTCAACCAAATTAAGAAAGAGGAAGTACCTCGGCTGCACTTGTGCAGAGTAAATCTATTTAAATCTGGATTAAGATCGAAAAAAAATCAAAGCTACCCATTAGCTCTAATGAAAAGGTATAGTCCCCTCATCAAGTTAAAAAAAGCTTGCTTCTCCCTCTTCTAAAGTCTAGTGAGAATTTAGTAAGACCAGCCAAAAAGATTCTAGTTTTTCTGCATCCTGATTCCTGAGGCATCATGTATGCTGATATGATAAGCTTTTAGTATATTCCCAAACACGAAATGTTAAATAATTCGAACATGACAACCATAAAGCGTTCAGGCCCTTAGAACTTCAATTTAAATCTTCAAAAACATTATACCAAGGACTTAATACCATGAAAAATATATATATATATAATCCACATGTGGCATCAGTTTTTCCCATCAACAAATTTTATAAACCGCAAGCTATTTAATATATTGAATCCAACATTTGGACTCTGAATTTGATCAACAAACTATGTACTAGTTAGAATGTAGATGAGACAAATACTAAGGAGTTCACAGAAGGACACTCCAGCAATTTATGTACCACAATCTGTTTTAGGATAATTTATTCTCTTATTAATATATTATAAATTTATGAAAATAAAAGCCGCAGCAAATTAGCTGACACAAGAAAATCCCTACGGCCTAGATACATTTATTAGGTAGTCTTGTTATTAATAAATTCATTACAAACAAAATCAACGGAAGATAAAACATCAACTAAAATTAAAAGTACACAACAAAAGAGATACTATTTAACACATAGTAAAGAAACTATTCTTAGTTTATGGATCCACTAAGGCTACAAGTATCCTCTTCATAGCACCAGGACAAGAATGCTAATAAAAATTTAGCGGAATCCAAAATAAACAATCACAGAGTACCATTTAAATTTTCCAAATTAACAATAACCCAGAAACAGATATGCAGAACTGGTACAACCACTACAATGTATTTGAATTGATTCTTCATGCATAGATTCTGGAACTACAACACCTTAAGATAGTAATGATTCTTCATAAGTTTGATATTACTGTAATTACAATTTTCAAAGAAAATGCTTCAGCAGCACTTCTAGAAGAAAATGGGATGAAAACCCAATCGTTTGATCCAAGCTCGCTATCTCAAGAAGAAAACAAGAACAATACATAGCTACGACATTAAGAGTGACACAAAACTTTTATATCATAAACTAGCAACCACCAAACTGACATACAAACTGCAAAGATAACAGTAATGCAGCTCCGTATCACAATTAAGCTTGTCAGTGACCTAAACCACAAGTGATGACAGCTAAAAGCTATCAAAACTACAGCGTTAATTTATTCATACGTTTCAAACTCTAATTGTTAACATTGGGAGTGAATCAGAAAGTGAAAGACAAATGGTGAATTCTGATCATACCAAAAATGCCTCCACAGCTTCCAACTCTACCCATAGTAAAAATGCGGCCAGTGACTTCTCCACTGTTTTTGGCCTCCCAGTCAGGCATTTTGCAACTATTGCATCACAAACTTCTTTTGCATACCTGCAAAATGAATGGATTATACACAACCATCACTTTTGAGTGTATACGTAACTTAAACAATTCAAAAACTAATGTGTGATGAAACAAAAGGGCATTAGCATTACCTCCCCGCATCAGCGTCGGCAGCTTTTAAATAAGAAATAAGGGCATCCAGCGCCTTTTCTTGTACAGGCGCATTTGAATCGGCCACAGTTTTCCTAAAAAACGGTGCTGCCAATGTTTCCAAATAGAAAAAATTCAAATTTTGAAAGAATTCAAAAAAAACTAAGATCTACCAAGACAATCCTCTACACTAAACCTAAGATCGAACAAAAATTGAGATCGCACAACCACCAACCGGATCTCAAGCAATGCAATTGAAAAGCCCTAGCTTACCAAATTCACGGAGGCGAGGGTCCTTTGGATCCGAAATGGAGTCGCAAACTGCAGCCAAGTCGATGTTGGCGTCATTCCTCACTTTCCAATTCTTGTGCATTAACCTATCCTCCCATGGCAGTTTCTTCGCCTCCTTCAACAACTTCTCATCCTCCGACATTTTCTATCAATAACAATTAACTACCAGCACCACAAATGTTCGCGTTCACTCCGTCGGTTCGTCCGTCCGTTTAAGCATAAATATTTTTGAAAAAAAATGTATGCACAACCTACTTCCGTCGAGCTCCTTTCCGGCGAGAAATGAAGCAATGGGAAGAATGAAAAAAATAATAATAATAAGAAAAGATTGTCGCGAAAGCGAAAGGGCGGACCGGCGTCCTTTTTTGTCTTAGGTACAGGAATAAAAATCCGCTTATCTCAGCCGAGTGCCGGCGAAGGCCAAATGAAAATGGAAAAAAAAAAAAAAAAATGAGGGTTGAGAGACAGTGCGTGTGATCGCTTTTCTTTTTTATCTTTTTTTCCTAATTTCAAAAATCAACAATACAACAGAAGGACAGTGGGCTAAAAATTTTGAGTTTTACGCTTTGGGGGATGGTGGCGATAACCACTCTTGGGAGGCGAATTTGAAATCACGCGCATATTGAATTCTGGACTGTTTTAAAGTTTCGTCGGTTTCTTTTGCGAAAAAGGAGTGAGTGACAGGTGTGCAGCTCTTTAGTCGCGTGAAACGGATTAATTTGGAGCTGTTGTGGTTGAGCGGAGTAATTTGAAGGGGTGGGCCCCCAACAGGGAGCGGAGATATGACTAATTACTTGTAAAGTAATGTGAGAAATTCAAATTAACATAGTACTAGTAGTACTACTAGAGAAACGGTTTTTCTTTTATTTCTTTAATTTTTTTATACTTATAATAAAACTGTTCAAACTTCACAGATTTGTCAACCCGTCAACGTGTGTGTATATATACCTTACTATATTAGAAACAAAAACCACACTTAAGAGAAAGCACCATCATTTACCATGTATCATTTTCACACCATATTTTTAAAATAAATTTTTATTTTCACATCTCCTAGACTTAAAAGTAAATGCAGTCTAAATCCACCTCCACCTCCTATTTTCGCCAAAAAAAAAACCATGGGTTCATAAAAAAACCAAAATTCTCATCCTCATCTCTACCACAATGGACTCCCTAACCAATCCATTTTCTACAATTAAAAAAAAAAACAAATTTCTCATCAATCATCAGTTGAGAATATATGGTGAAATATACCCCATTCCAATTACCATGTTCAATATTTTCATTAGTGATGATCAACTACATCCTAATCGGATAAAATTTCGACTTCAAAAAATATTCTTTTTACCTCTCTATATAAACACAAAGGGAAAAAAAATTCTCATTGATCTTGCTTCGGCCGTTGTGGTGGTTTAATTACAGGTATTAAAATTTAAATGATTTTATTTTTACATATCATTTGTTTGGCTTTTATTATTTTTTGTTTTTCCCATTCAAGAATAGTGTTATTACTATTATTTTTATGTGTCCATCCATTACAGCTACCATAGCCGTTGTCAAGTAATATCATGTGATTTCTTATATGGTTAGTTAGCTTAGAATTTTTGTATGATTTTACTTCTGTTTGGATTGAATTCATTAATTGGGTTTTTGTTATAGAATGTGGTTTTTTAAACTTTGTTTTTATATTTCATTCAATTAGAGTGGTTTTCTTTTTTTAATTATGGAGTCTCGATTTTTTTTCGTATATGGTCAGTTATGAAGTGTGTTTTTTCTTTGTTTAATTATTTTTTATTTTGTTTCATACTTCCAGTTGACCAATTATTATTATTATTATTATTATTATTATTATTATTATTATTATTTTATTTACAAATGAAACGTGTTTTTTTTTTGTGTTCGGACTTTCAAGAATATGTTTTTTTTTTATTTGATTTTTGAACTTTTTTTAGTTCCTCATCATATAAAAAGGTCAGGTCGATTCTTCTAATTAATTTATGGGGAAACCTTTTATGAATTTGAGGCGGAGAGGGAAGGAATGATGTTTCTACATTTATTTGTATTTTTACAAATAAATTTCTCAATTTTTAATGGGCTATCTTTTAATTTCTTTTTTTTCTTTATTTGTCATGGTGAGGTGAGTTCTTTTTTGCTATAACTTGAAACATATGCAAATTTACATTATTTTCATTCTCATATTTGTGATGAACCAGTTTCAAAATCATATTTTTGATATTTTATTACCTATAAACTTTTGGAAGAAATAATTCCAACAATTAAGCGTATACCCTTGGGAGGAAGCTTACTACAAAACTATTATAAATCTCCAAAATTAAGTATTGATTTGGCACAACCAATGGAGAACATCAATAAATTATCTTACTAATATTTAAACTTATTGGCATGCTTTCATATTTTGTCTAGCATTTACTTCAAGAGATATATTTGATCAAGTTTATTTATATTTAAGAAGTAACACTTATAAAACATTTCTAAAATCTTCAAACATTTCTAAAATGTACCGGACCAAATACAATTTCTTTTTATGCCAAATACAAACATTTCTATGATCACACTTATAAAATATTTTTAAATTCTTCAAAAATTTCTAAAATATATTGAGCCAAATACAAAATATTTTTTTTCCAGATACAAACATTTCTAAGATCTACAGATATATTGGGTCAGGGTCGCGCATTGCGCGACCAGACATCACTAGTATATATAGTACTTAATTAAAGCAGCAAACAAAAAGGACATGTGTCAGCACCATAATGAAAATTTTCCCGCCAAAAGTCATTTTCAGTACAAAATTATTTTTGACACGTGGCACTCTAACTAATCAGAAAAAAATAAAATAGATAAATACATAAATCCTTCATTATAGCTACATAAAAATACCTTAATTATAGGTATATACTAATCTTTTAAAACAACAATATTTAGTTGATAAAATCAAATGTAAGGAAATCCCCTTAAATTAAGTGAAATACCAGTAATATCTTCCCAATCCCTAATTTCAAAGAATCTCTTCTATTCCGCTCCTCTCTCACACCCGGGCCTTTAAATCAATTACTTAAATTTTGACATCAATTATCAATCCATCTCTCTCTACAACAGAGAAAAAATAAGCTGTCATGAAAGAAATTTGATTTTTTAAGAATGATTTTTTTTATTCTTGTGTTGTAGATATTGGTTTATAATTTATGTAAATCCGGGCATAAGTTAACTAATATAAATTAAATGTTATAAATCTGGGCATAGATTTATGTGTAATAGCTCACTTTCTGTCTTTTCAATCGATTTTTTATTCTTCTAATTTTTTTATTCTTTTAAGAATGATTCGTATTGTTTATTTAATCAATTTAAAAATACATGCGACACCCCGGGCATTCGCCCGGGGCAAGCATCTAGTAAGCATTAAATATATATATATATATAAGCATTGAAAACAACTTTGATTTTTCTAGTTTTTGAAAATTTGTATACAGCCGAACTGAAATATTATTGCAAGCAGAAGGATTTAATTATTTCTTTTAAAAAAATTCATAGGCTTGTCTAGAGGCTATGGGCTTGTTGTCCAATTCTCATTTTCGCTTTTTGTCTCATTTCTCTGCTTAAATACAAAACTCAATGTAAAATAAACTATTATTTTAATAGTATTTTAACTTACCTTTTAAAAATTATTTCAAACATTTTAATCCACCTCCATCACCCACCACCCACCACTGTCGCGGTACAGCCTTCCTCCGCCGTCGGACCACTGCCAGCCGGCCGGATACACACACACACACATATATATATATATATATTCATTTAATGCGAAGAGCGTGTTTAATAAGTTATCATCCTAAAGGTTTGTTTAGTGGACATGTATATTCATTTAAAATGATCGACCTGAGTTTTGAGTGTTAGATTTATTTATCGTCGCTATGTTTATATGACAAATTATTTAATATTATAAATTTGTACTTTTTTATTTATTCATTATGTAAAATTTTTATGAAATATTATTAATTTATGTTTTATTTCTTGAAAATTGATTTTGATAAAGTGTCTAGTTTTTATGTGATCAGATCAAATTTCTTGTTAATTAATAATGTAAAAAGATCATTAATCAAATTGTAAAAGAATTATATTATAAAAATTAATTAGGTTAAGATAAAAATGAATAAAATATGAATGATGCAAAAATGATTAAGCAAAAAAGTCATGATAACAAAAAAAGAGTTGTGGAGGGCAAAAAAAAGTGAACAAATGTTTTACTCCTAAAAGATGGGAATTACAATACCACCTATGAGGTGAGTAATCATAATTCATGAATTTTGTGTTTATTTTTCTTGATTTTATGATGTTTTTCCTTTTCCAAAATGAGACGGACAAATAAATTTAAAAATTCAGAAAATGATTACTTTTTTAAACAAAACAAACATTGATATTTAAAAATAAGGAATCAGATTACTTTCCAGCCCAAAATTCCTAATAACCAAACGGATTTTTGAATTTTTTTTTTTGGTATAAAACTCAAAAACACCTTTTCGGCTTTTCCCTATAAAAACTACTCCTAAAAATTTGTCCATTTGCCCCCTGAAAAAACAAAATATTTTTCTTTGCCAAAAACTAGAGAATCAACTAAGTTGATCATTTAAATGATAATCAACTTTTAATCATACATTTATGTGTTTGTTTTTATATTCTTTCTATTTTGGACTTCTTTTTTGCAACGACATGAGTGATTTTAATAATATATGTCGGGTAGTGCCGAAAATAAAACTAATTTTTTGAAAAAACTAAAATAATCTCATTTCAAGTAATATACTTATAAAAAATTGGTTAATAATATACCAAAACAAAATGTTCAGCAAGTAATATAGTGGATGCAACATTTGTTGGTAGTAGTAAAAATATTATGGAATGAATAAGTATATAATCCAATGCCAAATTCATTGGATGATCACGCTGAATCTGGAGTCAATAATGGGCAAAGGGTAGGATTACTTGAGTAACAGTAGCAATAGTTTTTGTTTTATAGTAAATCTTGATCGTACCTTTAGTCGAACTTTTTGTTTTTAGAATATCCTTGATGCCAAATGGTAGAAAAGCTGTGAGAGAATGAGAGATTCTTGAAAAAAAAGTAACCTA